AAAAAAACCTTAGGCGCAAGCCCCCTTGCAATAAACCAATTTATAGTAACAACAGAATTGCACTTACTTATAAAGGAAAAAGCCGCCATTATGGCAGAGCACTTAGAACAACAATTTGTACCGAATCAAGATCCCTTGTGACCCTCTTTTCTCATCTTACATACAAGCAATTTATCAAAGACTGGCTTGAAGGACCAGGGGCCAAAAATCGCACTGAATATACATCTCCGACAGAGGTTAGAAACATTATCAGAAACCTGAAAAACCGGAAAGCACCTGGCTATGATGAAATTACGAATGTTGCAATTAAAAATATGCCACTTAATACTGTCACAAAATATGTCAGCATTCTCAATGCCTGCCTGGAAAATAACTACTTTCCCGAAAAATGGAAAAAGGCCAAAGTCATTCTTCTACCAAAGCCGGGAAAAGATGCCACCAAACCGGAAGGGATACCGTCCGATTAGTCTACTCCCAGGACTTGGTAAGATTTTCGAACGGGTCATCTATAAAAGAATTGAACCGCATATGGATAAGCTCCCAATGGAACAATTTGGTTTCCGTAAAAATCTCTCAACGACAAAACAACTTGTTCGTCTGTGTGAATTCATTGGATCTGCTTTATTTAGACATCAAAGTGTCGCCTTACTCATGCTAGACGTGGCGAAAGCTTTCGACCGCGTCTGGCATGAGGGGCTCATTTTCAAGCTCATCACACTTGATTTCAGTAGAGACCTCATCTTACTTATCAACTCTTTCATACGGAACCGCAAATTCTTTGTAAACTTTGGATATGAACACTCTGAGACCAAATATCTGAAAGCCGGGGTAGCTCAAGGATCTATTCTTGGCCCAATTTTGTATCTCTTTTATGTTTATGATCTACCCAATAGTGCCGATCTCAATACTTACCTCGGATGTTATGCAGATGACACCGCCCTTGCCGTGAAGTCACATAGTCAAGAACATGCACTGATAAAACTTCAAGAAAAAATTCCAGCCATAGAGGAATGGTGCGCTAAATGGAGAATTGCGATTAACGGACAAAAATCCCAATTGATAATCATCGGTAAAAAACATTCCAGAATCCCTTTGGACAGAAAAATTAATATTTTTAATGAAGAAGTGCCACTTGTTAAAAAGGCTACTTATCTTGGAGTAGTTTTGAATCACAGATTTACCTGGAAAGACCACATTCACAGTATTAAATGGAAGACCTCCTATACTATCAAAAATCTCCTCCCTCTAATAGGTAAAAACTCTAGACTTGATCTCAAAAGGAAAAGAGACACATCTATACTGCAATTATCAGACCAATTTTCTGTTACGCATCACCTGCCTGGGCGACCTACACTCAAAGTGACATGAAAAAACTCCAAATTACGCAAAACAAACTTCTCAGAATAATTACTAATGCGCACTTTTATGTTTCAAATGAGACCTTACATAGAGACCTACGTATAGACAGAGTTGAAGAGTTCCTTCATAAAAGCTAATAGAAAATTCTTTGAAAAAGCAAAAAATTGTTCCTCATATGAAACACTTCAAAGTGTTTGATTATCCAGATTTTTGCAGAAGACGCACGTATTCGACCGCTTGCGGCCTTCACCTCGAGATTCGAACTTCCCTACATAACTTTATCACGAGTGCAACGTCGCTGTATATATGTATATAGACTTTTTTGCCGTATTTTATTTATTACTCTTTTCATTTTATTTGTATGTATTTTATTATTCTAATAAATTGTATTGTTCAGCTTATTTGTATAACTTTTATTATGACATGTACCTATCATGAACAACAGAACAAGTCTGATTTTCACCCTGTCTTTGCCTCTCCTGGTTCTTGAGCTTCGTCTGTGTGTTTCTAATAGACTTGTGATGTCATGCTGTCACCCCCTCTTCGCACTACTGATGCCTCCTTTCAATTGTCATTGCTTTCCAACTACCGTCATGCGCCCTTTGGGCCTAAGTGTCATGAGCCGGAAACATTGCGTAAAAGCAATATGCCGGCAATATTGATGATGATGATGATATAACAAAACAGTCTTCACTGCCCCTTTTTAAAAAACAACGAAGTTTAAAAATTGGGGAGGGATCGCTTTGTTATAAAGTCTATTTTTGCGCTACTCGATAAACTTTAATGATCGAGCGCTAAAATTCCATTCGTTTATATATCATGCATTTCAAATTTGGGAAATAAGCCGGCAGTTGTAATATTGATTTCACGTCCCAGAAATATAAGAACTTATAAGATATCGTATTCAAAAATCATATTATGTGGCATTTGTAATTTCTCTACGAGAAAGCTTTCTTTAGGCTTTATCTCAGTGTTTCTCAACCTTTCTTGACGCATGCATCCTTTTCACCATTTCTAGATCATTTCCCCTTCCTCCTTTTTCAAAATTCGAAAAATATATATACATTTGTTTAGATTTTATTATTTTTAAACGTATTTCTATAAATAAAATAACAAAAATTATAGAAAATGTTGATAAATATCAAAACATGAATAAAAATAGTTCTTTTATATACATAAACCAAAATTAAATTATTAACGGGTAAATAAAAAAAACTGACTGTATTCTTTGCCCTCTAAAACTATAAAATTCCTCTAATGGGGAAATTCGCCTTTGGTGAGAACCCCTGCTCTTATTTCATCTAAGAATTGAAGTGGATGATGAATTATTGAACAGACAATTAGAAAAGTATAATAGAAAAATGTTATATGTATGTTACCTTGAATACAAAATGAACAAATCAACTTGCGTTTGATGGCAATGAAAAAAGCTTTTGTAAGAAGGGAAATATGTGCTTAAGCATATAGTACATGAAGGTAGGAAGTCAGATGAGAGGCTCTAACTGGTTTTCCTCATTCACTGCTTTGAAGCGGTGGCGATCTCTTTGTGGAGACCAAAACATTCAGTGACTTGCCATTGAGATCAATGTGTTTGACAAGATCGGATGTAAGCATTTTGTAATTGCGTCGTAAATATGCAAATAAATGTATATATTTTCTTTGTCTACAATATTTCAGAGTTCTAAGTATATGAAAGGAATACATTTTTAAACAACATTTCATTCTGAATGGAATTAAATGCTATACTTTTCACAGAACAGTTTAATTTGAATGAAATTTTTTCACAAGTTTTCGTTAATTACATTAGGGGAAAAAAAAAAAAAAATAAGGTAATTCAATTTTATTCGGTTAAGGATTACAAAAATTAAGACCAAAGTTTATTGTATTATTAATGATAAAATTACGTATTATTTCTTTTCTATTTATAAAGCTTCTTCCTAAAATACTTTCTCAAATATGAGATGATTTTTTTAGCTTCTGAGGGATCTTTTAAATCGAAAGTATGAGTCAATTTGTAATTAATGCTCTGTTAGGTTCATGTCAAATTAGAGTACCTTTTATTTTAATAATGAAATAAATTAAATATTGGTGCTGATTTCCACGTACTTAACTTTCTATGACTATTACTGAAAGGGAATTAAAAAAAAAAAAAGGATACTTTTTTTAAAAATATTATTTAAAATTGTAACCGCGTTATTATAAAATGTAAGGAAATAAATCCTTTAATAATTATCAGATTTTTTTGGCCCTTAAGTTCAACAATATATATTCTAAAAACTCTTCTTTACTACTTACTTAAGAACGCATCTCACAGAATTTACAAACAATTCTTGCTTAAATAGTTTTATAAACGTATTTGTCAAACAGTATTTCAATTTATGTTCACAATTAAATGTTACGGTTATTATATATTTAGATAATATTTATAATCACTATAATTTTAGATATATTTAATAACTAGATTTCTTCAAAGTAACTTTCACAGGAGTTTATGAATGAATAAATCCTTCATTTCCAAATATATTTACAAATAATTTAATAAATATTTTTGATTTCAGGTAGTCATTTTTATTTTGAAATCAGTAAAAAATTAAATACAATATATAGATATTATTTATTGTGCCTTGAACAAATATGCACATTATTAATTACATAACTTGAATAATTGTATATAATTTTTTTAAAGATGGGTTAATCACAGGATTGTCAACTGAAAGAAGCATTCAATAATTTATACCTGGCAAGATAAAAATTCCGTTCATAGAACTTGTGGAAGAATTTGTGTAACAGAATGAAATTTTTAAACTGATTATTTATAATGCTCCCTTTTCATTTTGCACTTATTATATTTACACTACACTGAAGTTCAATAATAAATGATAGAAGGGGAAATATACAACAAAATTAACTTTATTTAAAAGCAAATGTCAAGTTTTATGATAAAGGCTTAAGTGATAACTCAGCTAACATTTTTCATCAATTCAGTCATTTGAAAGGCCATCAGTAGCCAAGTGGTAACATCACTAAACACTGGTAGTTCAGTCCAGGGTTTGAATCCCAGCAAATGAGCTGGCTGCATGGGCACTTTCATGGCTTTCTACATGTGTAATGTGTATAAGAGCCAGATTTCTTTAAAAAGCCCTAGACAAAAGGAATCATCCCCTTAGACAAATAGCCCTCATAATTAAATAGTTATTTGAAAAACACTACCTTTTTTAAGTTAAATTATGTAGGCATACATTGGTGCACAGATTAGAAAACACGAAAAAACTGTTAGTTAATTTTAAAATTAAATTATATATTTCTATAAACCATTAATTAAATTTTATGTAAGATGACAACTATATATAATAAAAAATTGCACAAGAACTCAAAAATACTTTTTGTTTTTTGACAAAAATAATTTAAAAAAATCAAGATAAATTAAATTATTCTTGGTTCAATTTTACTAATACTGCAATACATTAAAATTATATATATACATAAACTATAAGAAACATGTCAGTAAATCAATAACCAATCTACAATATACATATAAAAGCTTTGCATTTTTAGATCCTAGAATGTCGCTGCTATTCAAAAACTATTAAGTTCAACAGCCATATCAGAACATCTAAAAAAACTATTAATGTATACATAAAAATTTTTCTTACATTAATTATACAAGCAATTTTATACATACCTTTTCTAAATCATAAACTTCTGAAAATGTCTTTGTCATGTCTACACTTTCAGATGCTTTGATAAGTGTAATATCTTTCTTTAGCCTATACTTTGGTGTGTATTTCATTGAAACCAAAAGTTTTTTGTAGTACAAATCAAAAGCAGCAATAACATCTTCGATTTGTAGATTTGGACAAGCACTGATGATGTTTTCAGCAGTATATTTTACTCGATCAGCAAAACTTGGCAGAGCAAGCAATTCTTTCTTAAGCTGTAATGAATACATTTTGTTTCAATGTTCAGTGCTTAAACAATAAATATTTACAAATTGAGGATAAAATTTTCTGGTATTTCTTTCCCGCAGTATATTATAAAAATGCATGTTTGAAATATTGGAGTCATTAGATACATTTTACAATATCAACAACCAAATTACTTATAAAAAAATCATGTAACACAAATATCATAAAACCATATGCTTGCTAAAACCTAACTTTCCTTTAAAAGGTATTTTTGAATTAAAAAAAAATGCTATTATGAACTGTCACTATTTTTAAATAAAAACAAGCTGAAATTTTCGTCTAACTTATAATAAAAACAGAATTAGAAACTGAAGTCTTTCTCAAAATAAACACAAAATAAATCTTCCAATAATTCAAAATATTTGATAAATAAGCAAATAATTCATCACGTTAAGTAGATACTAGTCAACATTACCTTCCTTTCATGCATATTTACATAAATCTTCTGTTCTAGTTATAACATAAAATAAAAACTGCAGTTATTATTTTTCAATACTGTAAAAAATTACATTTAATTTTATTTTATAGCATAATAATACAAATTTTCAAATCCTGTTCTAGAAAAAATACTATCATTTTACACTAATCATATCAAAGTTTGTATGGTATGGAATGAAAAGGGTTATAATGAAAATTTTATATTTTAGAATAAAATTAGCTCCATTTAATAATGTTCATATATTTTTAGCTCATACTTGACTAGCTATTTAGCAGCTAATTACCATTTTGATCATATTGTAAATTTAAAAAATATATTTGATTTTGTACACAGTTTCAGCAACCAAAATAAAGCTATCATTCAGAAAGGATTAGGTCTGTATAAAGCATAGTAAATTTGCATCTAAGGAAATAATTTTAAATCTTTGTACAGAGAAATTTTGTTAAATATTAGTAAAAATATGCCTGGGTGTTATTTTTCGCAAACTATTTATGTATAATATTTTTATATGCCACCACTTAAAATAATTAAAAAAATAAATATTTATAATTACTTGAAATATTCAGTAATAAATGAGACAGTTAATCACTGTCAATTTTAAAATTTCTATATATTTGCACATTGCAATGATACTACCATCTCCTATTATTCTGATTCTTCTCTTTTTGTTATCAAAGATAGATCATATTTATACAGTATGTGGCAAAACAAAAATAATTACAAAAAGACAAATTTAAACAATCATTAATTCTAAAATGTTCCGTTTTAAATAATTAAATAATAAAATCTTTTATGCATAGTTATTTTGAAGATAAAAAATTATAACAACAGCATTTATTACAAATAAAGTTAGCTTTCATGTACATGCTATAAAAGGATATATTTACTTCTCGAAAATCTGTATCAAAAAACTGAAAACTAAATGAGCATAAAGCTTGAGCTTCCCCTTCTATCTGAGAATCTTTCAGGAAGTGGGATTCATGCTCTCGGGTATATGATGTTACTAATGCTGGGGAGCCATCGAGCAAGATAAGGCTTTTTACTTTAAGATGATTATGAGGTTCACGCTCTGCTTGCAGACACATTTCAAATGCTACAGATGCTCCAAATGAGTAACCAGAAAGGCAGATTATGTTAGCGTCCAGTCTGAGAGCTTTAATTTGCTGTAAAGATTTCAATATTTTGAGAAACAAAATTCAATATTTTGAGAAACAAAATTTAACATTTTGAGAAACTCACAATTATGTTAGGAAATTTAGATTTTACTTACTATTAAACTAATTATAAATTATTTTGAACTGAATATTATTGCAAAAGTTCATCATAAATATTTTCACAAAAGGTTACCAAGACAGAAGGAATTTAAAATGTAGCTTCCACAAAAGAGCAGCATATTTATTTAGTTTTTGGAAAAGATCCCATTTTAATGAATATTAAGTTATTCAATAGCAATAACTATTTAAAACTTTTAAGTATGGTAGCTTCTCATAGTTCTATTACATTAACATAATTTTCCCCTTTCATAGCCAAGGTTTTCTTTTATTGTGTCTTTAGTATTATACCGATTTGGTAATGTATGTATGTGACTGTCTAATTTGAAATGAACTGAAAATGTTTGACATAATTGAGTTAGCTGAATTAACATAATGGAGTTAGTTGAGTTAACATAGTTAAGTTAGATTTTTACATAGTCAAGAATCTGTTAAAGCTTGATGTTCTTGTAATATTTAAGTATTTTAATATTTATAATGAATGTTCTCAGATTTCGAATTCTAATACTATGATCATTAGCACTGAAGAATCAAATAAAATAAAATCTCATTACACATCATTAAAGATTTTATTGTACACTTTCCAAATTCAGCTATTATATGTACTTGAATCTTAGCGCAGTTATTAATTTAAAAAAAGTATTCCCATTTACCTTGCACTGTTAAACAGTATTTAGATAGTATATTATTAATTGATAACTTGATGCAAAATTTGATATATTCAGTTATGAAGAAAGATGAGAAGCAAAATATAGTTTAAGCACAAATGTGTTGTTTCACACATGCAATAGTGCTAAAACTGTGGTTATTCACTTCATTAAATACTAGGATTACAACACAAGTAATGATTCACAAAAGCTGCTAGAGTTGCATATCTTCACCTCATTTACGCCAAGAAAACTGCACAAGTAAAAATCTCTTAAAAACGTAATAGAAAATATTTTCAGAATACAAAATGTTGAATCTTGTGAATTTTTAAAACTGAAGATAAAATATGTACAATTCTTCATTCAGTTACTTTCAAATGCAGAATATCAAAAATGTAGATAATGGTGTTTGAGATGTACTTCATCATTAGAAATCTTACTTATAGATACATAAAAAGACATCCAAGACTTATTAAAATAATAGAAAGATGCACAATGTGATAAAATAAGTATGTAAATTCTGATAATCTAAAACATTTTTAAATAAACTAAAATACAAGGATGTTAAAATTAATTAAAAGTTAGTGTTGTCCAGACAGCAGTAACAGAGAAAGCTTCCACAGTGGTCATAATATTTTGTTCTAATTATGTGCTTACAATGATATGAGTTAGAATGTAAGATATACATTAAGTTCATTTTCAAGTCAGAAATGAAATAGAACTAAGCTAATTTCATATCATATGAAACCAAGTCTGTTCTTTAGAATCATCCATATCCTACTTGGAATTTACCAAAGTATTTACATTACATGAAAATCCTTTAGCTGAATATTTCTTTAAAATTCAGTACTTTTCAAGTAATAGGACTTAATCAGAAAGTATCACAAACTAGAAAAAATAGCCAAATCATCTTGCGAACTCAAAGCCAAAGTAACCAAATGCCATTATAAAAGTTCATGATTCAGCTAAAAATTACAACTCCCCCCCCTCCCCAGTAAAATGTGCACTTTGACCAGATAAGCAAACACTTAAATACGTGCAATAACAACTTTAAAATTATTATAGATACGGATTATAATTTAATCCATATCTTTACAATGAGGGAACTGAACACTTAACTATATATCATGATTCATATTTATATTTCAACAGGAAGGTTAAAAAACCATATTTAATAAATTCAATATATATTTCTCCATAAAGATCATACGTTTAAAAAGTGCAAATTAAAATGAAACTGAACATATTACTTTTAATATTTTTACATTTATATTAATATCTTCTACTTATACATTTAAGATATAAATCTTAATGGCACTTAACAAAAAAATGTAAACACTTAACAGATAAACAATTTGGCATCATTCTGAAAAAATGCAACAAACTGAAACTCCTTTCATACATTAAAAATATAAGAAATGCTTTATTTTTAAAATAAATATTTCATTTCAAATAAAATGAAATGTTGTCATGAGTGTTTTTTTTACTTGGACATAATACAAAATGCCAGAATTAATAAAAATGTACTAACCTGCCAATACCAAGCAGAAAGACATTCTATAGACTCAGCAGGAGCTTCAGGGGTGCATTGAATACCATAGACAGGACAATGAAGCTGCTGTGCCAGAGTTTCTAGCATCTGAACTATTCCTTCAATAGGATGAACAATAAATAATGGTATGCCATTTTTAACAGAGTTCATTGAAACCAGAGTATTATGAGGAACAAGTTGTGTAGAAAGAACAGAGTTAAAATGTCCCGGTAATCTTTCAATGGAATCCGTTTCAACATCTGTGGATGGTTCTGAACTACTTCTGCTTTCATCATCCCCTTCTAGCTTTTTCAGATCATTTATCTTCAACTGACGGAGTTCTGGGATGGTTAATACAAGTTCAAAATCTCTCTCAAGGAACTGTTTCACTTCAACACCCATTAATGAGTCCATGCCTAACTCACCTAGAGTTGCTTCAGGATTTATAGCTGATATGTCCTTAATACCTAAGAAATAGTGGACGGAGAAAAAAGAAACTTAGATTACATTATATAAACAATTTAAAAATTAAATTAACTTCTAAATGAAGTAAAATAGATACAATACTAATTCATCTAAATATATTAATATTCTTAAAATTTAGATTTCTTGTAATGTTTCATTAAATTTAATTTTAGATTATTCATTTACTGCTGAATGCATTGAAACTATAAAAGTATGTATTTATCATATACATAAATATACAATTACTTTTAAAATTACTTATATATATTTTTCAACTTATACATATGATTAAAATTTCATAAGTAAAGCAAAAAATACAGTATGATTTCTTGCATTTTAAAAAATTACTAATTGTAATAAAGAAAGCATTAAAGTAGCACAAGTAGACTAAATATTAGTAATTTTATAAAACATTAATTATTAATTTTATGCAACATTTAAGCTGTGTAAATAAGCTGTATTTAATAATTTTATAAAGTTTTTGAATATGGACAAGTAAATATTGAAGAATATTATATAACTAATCTATTATAAAAAACATATGATAGAAGATTAATAGATTTCAGTATAAAAATACTTATATATACAAGAGATAAATGACAGAATTTAAGACTTTTTTAAACCAATATGCATATTAAATCACTCCATTATACAAATTTTAACACTTTGCTATTCTAAATAAGAACATCTGTTATGTATTCATATACATAACATAATATTTTCTCAGGTTATGTTGTTGCAAAACTTTAATTGTTAACCAAAGATTTACAATATAACTGAGTAGTTTCAATTAGCTAATTACAATTATAATAAGATAACACGGGATAAAATGTAAAGCAATGTTTGATAATTCGTAAAGCTTTTGCTTATTTATGTAACCATAATAGAATTACTGAATACCCTCTGTATATAGTCCATCATATTCATAGCAGATTACAAAAAAATTCACAAAGCCATAATTTTTTATTTCCTAAACAACCATGATATATATTTTATATTTCAATAAAAATGTTTCCTACAATTTTCTTTAAACTAAAACAGCATATATACTTTAATTCTTACCAAAGATGTTAGCTACTGTTAAAAGAACATTATGCTTAGTTGCTTTCTGTGTGCTAGATTCTGCAGGCTGATATGGAACAAAACTTGAAACCACAGGATGTTTTTGTTGAAGAAATTTGTCCAGGACAGTAAGACAGGAATTAATGCGTTGTGGAACAGTACCACCAATTACAACATCAGATCCAACAGTTTCTTGAATTACTCCAACATCACCAATAGCACCCCACTGTATGGCAAGACCTGCAACAAGCAAATTAAGTAAATATTAATACAAAGTAAAAAATGCTTGTTTAGAGACATTGTTTATCAATTAATAAATTAAACATATACTGAAGATGATTATTTCATTTTTAATAAAAGTAAATTGAAGATACCTGATAGACCTTCTCTACATCGCTCTTCACAAATTCTTTCCATGGCAGAATTTGCATAGCCATAATTACTTTGGCCAGCATTGCCACGTCCACAGCTCACAGAAGAAAAGCAGACAAACCATTCAAGCTGAGGGCATAGTTCTCGCGAAAGGGCATCTAAATTTTTCGTAGATACAACCTTTGATTCAATTACTTCTTGGAAATTCTGAGCAGTCTGGTTCTCCATAAATGCATCTCTTAGCACCTTTAAAATATAAATATAAATTATTTATGTATATGTGTGTGTGTGTGTGTGTGTTGTAAGGCATCAGCAACTACTTGTACCTAATTAATAACATAATCTAAGGGACAATATGAAATTTTAAACAAAATATCAGGAGCATTAAGAATTGCATGCACTTATTATCTTAACACTATTATTTCAAAATATTTTCATTAAATTTATTTAATAAATGCAAGCATAATATTAATAATTAAATGCAAGTATAATATTAATTATCTTAACACTATTATTTCAAAATATTTTCATTAAATTTATTTAATAAATGCAAGCATAATATTAATAATTAAATGCAAGTATAATATTAATAATTAAGTGCAAGTATAATATTAATAAATGCAAGATAATATAAACCGATTTCAATTAGTACTGTATAATTTCAATGATGTTTCAACGTAGTAATCCCATCAAATCAGATTAATATATGAAAACAAACTATCTAGGTCTAACATAAATTAATCTCTCTATATAATATAAATTATCTATCAATCAATCTATCTATATATACATACAAAGTGATTACTCAATCTTTTTCAAACACAATTTCATGATAGTAATATATTTATTTAAGTCAAAAGCTAACATTCAGCATTTTGTTACGCTGAAATCTAATGCTAAAGTACTAATCTGCACATAGTAACTGCAAATAGACATTTGATTAATCTAATGCAAACATACCAATGCAAGATTGAAAATGGCACCAACAGGACCATGTGCTGCTGCAGTTTTCAGAAGTAATTTTGCTTCTTCTAGCTTTGCTACATTCAATTTAGATACAATTACATTAATAGATTCTTTTTGCCATCGTTCAATGCATAATTGTTGATACCCAGATTGAATACCAGAACGTGATGTCAAAATTATATTCTTAGCTCCCCTATATGTTAACCACTGACATAACTCAAGTCCAAATCCACCAAGTCCACCAATGATAACATAAGATTTTTCAGGATTGAAAGTTGAGCGAGTTAGAGCATTGAAATGTACAGGCTTTGGAAGTACATTTTTCTGTATTTCTTCTTCTCTGATCTGAAAAAGAACAGTTCAAAAATTTTTAATTAAGTTTCATAAATTTCTTAAGACAAGAAGATCGAGAAGATCGAAAGAACTTGTTTTATAATAGCTTCAGAGAGAAATGATAGCTCATTTTGTATAAAAAAATAAATATACATATATTAATAAGTATATGCATCTTCATGCACTTCATTTGTTGGCTGCATAATGCACTTATACCAAAATTCATCATTTTCCCTTGTAATTTAACAGAACCACCTTTTACTGAAGTCAAAACCAATACTTTACATATTGATGGGAGGGATGAAAGAATGAGAGAGACAGAGGCAGGGGAAAAAAGGAATCTCTAATATAATGTAGATATAGCCTGAAATTGTAAACTATTATTTTCATAGCTTTTCTAAAGCATAATTTAACTATAAATTTCTTACCTTAAGAACGACTTTTCCAATATGACGACCACTAGCCATATACCGGAAAGCTTGCTCAGCTTGATCATGATCAAAGAGAATTGAATTAAGTGGTGTAACTGTTCCATCAGCTATACCTTTCCTGACTAATTCAACAACTTCCCTTTTAGCAAGATCACTATAGCTTTTGTCTTGAAATAAAGCATCTAGTAGTATTCCATGAAAAGTTGTATTTTTCAAAAAGAGTGACATACCTAAAGAATGTAACATATATTTTGTCATTTAGCAATCTCCTAAAAGAATTATTATGTGCATATTTTATAAAATTTGACTAAAAGCACAAGTTATAAAAGAATTGAGACCTATATTTAGCTTTAATAAAATAATATATAATTATAACAAGTTTAATTATTAATTTGGTAAATAACACTGAAGATTACATATACTGCAATGAAACTATGTGAAATATAATTCTGAGTAGTACAGATAATGCACAAGAGGCATAAAAATATCTTTGTATCTAAGACGAGAGAAATTGTCCATGCCTATAGCATTAGAAATATGGAATTTAACATACAGCCTTCTATCATGGAAATCAAAGCTTATGAGTCTATGGTTCCACCATAATAATGAAGCAGTAGGTACTTGTCTTCTATAGGGGGTCTTCGGGAAAGAGTAGATTTAGCCTATTTTTTACACTGGTGAGAAAAATGGTTACAGATTCATGCATTTGCTAGAAATAAACAGATACCGAACTGCACATGTGTGAGAAACAAACAGTTGATAACTTTACCTTTTTTTTTTATTGTAATTGCACTGGGATAGTGGATTTTCACTGTAAAATACTCATCATGTTCACTATTTTAAATCCTCTTCATTATCTTATGCTTATTAATGCTTTGGCCACCAATTAGTGTCTATAAAAAGTTAATTTTCTGATATGTTCATATATGCTCTTTTTTAATAGATTGCTAAATAAGAATTATATTAAATAAAATAATAAATAGAATTTTCTGGAATGTTTAAATTTTCCAGCACTTTATTCTTATTTTAAATAAATTACTTACATAATTGCATTAAATTTGCTAATTGATGTATATATTAAAGAAATTCTGTTGAATTAAGTTATTTTAAATAAATTGTAGACAGAATTGTATTAAATAACATATATAAAGTCCTTCTATATGTATATATTAAATAGCTTGTATAACAGCAAATGCCTTTCATCAATTACCATGGTCAATTTTGTTTCCATGGATGTTTATAACACTTGGCAAGTAATTGCACTTTCTTAAACCCACATTGCACCAATGCTGTTTACTCTCACCAAGTCCACTACAGAAAACAGTTTCCAAAAAATATTTAAAAAAGTTTGTTGACATATATAACTATGAGAAACTTTTAGCTGCAATACATAAATTGGTTATTATTATTATTATTTTTTACTTCACATGCCTCCTACATCAGCAGAAATTAAAAGATTTTTCTTTTTAGAGAGAAAAAGTGCTCCATTTGCTTTTTTATTATTAAATAAAACATTTATTATTTTATTATTAAATAAAAATATTTTTATTATTAAATAACCCTGCAACATTTTTACACTAAGTTTTATAATATATTAACAAAGAAAAGCTTTATCATTTGCTTCTCTCAAACTTCCTTAAAGCAGAACAAAATTGTATTAAATAAATACAATTTATTAAAATTGTATTAATAAAATACAAGGCCCTGAAAATCTTCAATTTAAAAATGGATGCAAAAATATTCACAATTTTACACAGTTTAGAGCAAAAATACAACTTACATTTGTAAATTAAAATAAGTAAATTTAAAAATACATGCAGAACTGATGTAAAAAAGATCTCTGTTACTCATAAAAGTATTTATAACTATATACACAGACAATTAATATATTAACAAGCTTTCAGTTTACCAAGAGGAGTATTGTTAGATAAGTCATATTTCCCAATTTCCAAGAAGCGACCATGTTGTGCAAGACAGTTCAAACTGGCCTTTAACTTTTCATCAGCAAGAGAATTCAAAACAACATCAACACCTAAAAATTATTATAAAAATGCTGATCAACCTCACATAATTACAGACTTTCAATTATTTAATACTTATCTCATGAAAAAAATACATACATATTTCATATAGTCTATAATATGATTTATTTTAAATTAAAAATCTAAAGTGAAGCATTAAGAAATATATAAAATGTGCAAATTTTTTTTTTTTAAACACATTATAAAAGTTTTAAACACATTAGAATTTATTTTCAACTATTGACTAACATTTGTAACTTTAAAAAATGTACATGAATAAATTTATATGTTGGCAATAAATCTGAATGATATTTCATTACTAACTGATATATTTAAGACTATTTTAAAGAAAACTAAATGACAGAACTATGTGAAATTTAAATGGTAAAATTTGTAAATTAATAGGAAACTTATAACATTACAAATTTACAAATTTTCAGCCCCTCCAAGCTTTGAAATGCTTAGTTGCAACCATTGCTGCCTAGCAAGTAACATTAATATGGTTGAAACGTTTCAATTATATGAAGCCAAGTGTCTAGCCATGCCTGTATAAAAAATACAGGCTATCAGATCTAAATAACAAAGAAATAAAAGAAAATTTTAAAGCTAACTGCCTATATATCTAAGCTGATGAAGATGTATCAAATCTAAAGAACAGAGAAATAAAAGAAAACTTTAAAAGCTAACTGCCTACATATCTAAGCTGATGAAGATGTTCTGTTTGATGCGAGTTACAACATATTTTTTTATTTTTCCTTACTTTATGGAAACTGTATATAATTTTATGCTGAGAGAATTCATTAGAATATTAAAATAGTAGCATTTTCAAATGCTGAAAAAGTTACTTTACCTTCACCATTGGTAACTGTCAAAATATATTCTTCAAAAGATAGGTCCCTAGAATTACAAAAGTTTTTGTCTTGTAGCTTAGGAAATCTTGTTTTCAAGAAATTTCTTTTTTCAATAGAGCCTATAAGGTAAGGAATAAAATTTTAATTAAACTTTTAAATTAATAAATGTTCAGAATAATTATATATTATAATAAATAATAAATTCATAATAAAATAATATACAAATTACTAATTAAATTCTACGTAACTTACCTACAGTAGTGTAAACCTCACAATCCAAGCTCAATGCAATGGCTATGGAAGCTTGTCCTACACCTCCACTTCCAGAATGGATTAAAATGCTTTCTCCTTTTTTTAAATTACCACGGACTATTAGAGCATAATATGCAGTAGAAAAAGCTACAGGAACAGTAGCAGCTTCTTCTAGTGTCCATTCATCAGGGACTTCCCACATAAAATTGGGATCAGCAACAACAGTTGTAGCTAGGCCTCTGGCATTAAGCATCCCCCATCACTCTTTGACCAGTTGCAGTGCGACCCGAAAATTCAAAACCAAGAATACAGTCTTGCAAGGCTAGATCTCCTAAATGAAAATAATGAGAGTTTAAATCCTTTGAAATATTAATGAACTTCGTTTTTCTTCTTAATGCAGATTAAATGCTTGTTATTTGTATATTTAAATTTTCAGAATGTGCCAAACTCAGGCAACCATGTTCATAGCAGTCCTGCAGTGGGACCATTTTCGTATGTGTTTTTTATTGTTGTATTCCATGTTCCAATGGTTATTATAAAGAAATATTTTTGCCTTAACCTTAGTTTTAAAATATGCGCTGGTGGAATTTGGTAGCAATCAAAGAAAATGCGGTAAAATTTCTGCAGGAATACAGAATATTGGTGAAAATTTTCTAAAGGGAACAATGAGAAAATGCACTTCCTCAATAGCTGTGGTTATGGATTGCATGAAGCCGAGTCCCCACAATTCTCTGGTATGTTTTAAGCAAAAACAGATCGACGTGCATTTTAATAGGTCAACAGACTTAAAAACAGATGGCTGGAAGGAGAATAGCACAAACAAATTACAGAATGATTTGAAGAAGAACGCAAGCGTTTAATTTTTTAAAGAACCTTCATTTAATAATTCAAATCTATATTTTAAATTACTAAAATATGCTTTCTTTTCATATATTGATAATGTTTAACAACTTGCTATAAATATTGATAGTTTGGGAATCTTTCTAAAAAAAGTCACAAAAACCACCAATTTGCACTCAGTAAATTTTACATTTTCATCTCTAAGAAATCACCAAATTGCACCAGGGTGGTAGTGTTAATATATTAAATATCCAAATTCTTAGTAGTACAATGATTAGTGTGCAACCTCTAAAAGGTTTTCACACCAGGTGCATCCATAGAGCTAGACAAATTAAAAGACAAACAATAAAATAAAAAAGTGAAAGAATAAATATATAACATTTCAACTTTGTTAAAGCCAGTTAAAACTGGTTATTTTATCATTTGCATATTAAAATGGCAGAGTCATTTTCATTTACTGAAAAGACTTATACAAAATTTCCTTCAGGGTGGAATAATGTTATATAAGAGATGATTTGATCATTTTATGGGGATGCATCATTATCAAGAACACAAGTATATGAGTAGTACAACCACATTAAGAGCTAAAGAGGGACCAAAGACTGGGCACCTTTCAACTTCAAATGTTTATGCATTTGTGAAATGTTAATTTCAATGCCTATAAACAATGATTTGATGATCTGATGAAATGCTGAAAAAATCGTTTAGACTACTCTGGCCATTTTGAAGGAAGTAAATTTATTTGAAGGTTAGTTATATTTTTCTTATTTATAAAAAATTGTCCACTTACTTTATGGGTGCACCTTGTATTTCCAACATGGAAGAAATACTTAGAAGGAAATTACACCCAAATTCAGCACTAAATTACTACATAAGTCAAACCATAAAATACGTCTAGTCTAGAAAGATCGGGGAATTCAGGTATAATTATTAGTTGCAGATAACAGATGAAAAAAAATTTAAAAAACTGTTCAGGCATACATATTTTTTCTTCAGTATAACTTCAATGAAAATTGTTTTGGAATTGTATAATAATTATGTCAATATTCAATAGTACATGTAATAAATAAATACCTGGAAGAGCATCAGGAGGTAATTTTCCACTTGCTAGCATAATATCTCGGAAATTAAGCGATGCATAATATACATGGCAAAGAAGAGAACCTTTAGGCTCAGACAAATACTTCAAAGGTGAATCGACCCAGACGAGACTTGATAAGTCACCACGGGTAAGAACATTCAAGTAGGCATGATCAGTTACAGTTTTGCTGTGATCTGAAAAACCAAAACCATTAAAAAATGTCAAACTCACAGCTTATATAAAACTTATATAAAAGCATAAACAAAAAATCAAGAATACATAGATATTTTGGTACTTTTCCATTTTGCCAGCGCAAACAATAAAGTCGCCAATAATGGTACCACTGATGCCAAACAGAATATCTTCACTGGTAGCCTTTTACCCTTCATTTTCAAAAGAAGTCAGCCATTTCTTATCAGATTGATTGTTTCTTTCAATACTGGCATACAATTACACAGAATTTTTACAAGAGAGTTAAATATTTTGCCCTAAGACTGTTGAGAATAATCACACGTACTTCCCGTTTCTGATTAATGTCGTATTTTAACCATAACTATTTTATACTTTGCTTAGGTTGATCTGGCAACAGTTGTAGTTGTCCTTGGTCATGGTTTGATATGTAGAAACGTGCTGTGCCATGAGCGTGAAATTCCATCTTTTAATAAAGCCTTTACTTAATTATCATCGGCCTCTGATTCACCTTTTTTTAAATCTTTACAGCAGAGCATGGTTCTGATATTGAACACGCTAGAGGCGAAGCATTTATATTTGTTTTGTGGAACTTACTTATTTGGAACAGAATCACGCGTTAAGTGAAATTTGAAATGGCAGCACGTGATGAGAACAAAAAGTATTGTGTTGAGCCGTTTAACGGTAAAAACCTTTCTCTGTTTAAGCATCATGTTGAAGCTGTGTTTGCAGCCAAAGAACTTGATAAATATTTAGACATTGAAGCAGATGAAACGAAAGCTGCTGAAATCAAAGATGCAAAAAAGGCTTACACATTGCTGCTAACCCTTCTAGATGATGTCATATTGGCGACCATGTCGAGTGAATCTTCTGCATGTGAAATTTGGAGCAGTTTAAAGAATAAATACCTGAGTGAGTTTAAAAAATAAATACTGAAGGTGAGGGCAGTTAGTCAAATATTAGTACGAAAGAAATTATCGACTCTGAAGAAACGCTGAGATTACAATATGCAGTCACATTAACGGACTGTTGGCGATCGTAGATGAACCGTGACTGTCGGGTGCTGAAGTCAAAGATATGGATGTGGTTATTTATTTGTTGGTGTCGCTACCTGCTGAGTACGACATTATTAAATCAACGACTGAGAACCAGCCAAATGAAATGCTTATGCTGGACTTTGTTATGCAAAGACTCTTGAATGCTGAAGAATTGCAAGTTGAGAAATTCTTACGATTCTCGTGTTTCTGGCTCAAGAAATAACGTAGCTTTTAGCGCTGATAAGCGTGATATCATATGCCACAAATGTAAAAGTAAAGGTCATATTACCAAGCTTTCCAAGAGAAAATTAGTTTGTTTTGTATGTGGACGCCCAGGGCATTACAAGAAGGATAGCAGATTTAAGCATGAATCAAATTACAGAGAATCGGCTGCAGTAACATTCATGGTTGGCGAGCCTGTTGGAAATTTCATTCTGGATTCTGGAGCATCTACACACATGTGTAATAAAGGTGAGTGGTTTGAAGAAATTAAACCTTTTTCTGGAACTGTTTCCATGTGCTTCGAAAAATGATGTTTTAAAGGTAGAAGGTATTGGTACAGTACCTGGAACATTAAATGGAAGATAAATACTTAAAGATGTGTTATATGTGCCTGAGTTGAACGTCAATTAATTAATATCTGTGAAGAATTATTCAAAAAGCAGGTTATAGTGTAATTTTTAAGAATGATGTAGCTGTTATTGAAAAGAGGAATGAACAATTTGAGTTTGCTAAACTCAATGAGAAAGGACAGTATGTGAGTCAATTTGAACTTGTTAAAGCTTCAACATACATTGCAAATCATAGTGCAGAATTATGGCACAGGCGCATGGGGCACTCATCTGATAAAATATTAAAAGAAATGTGTTTGCCAGTATCTGAGTCACCTTCCAAGCTTTTGTGAAGAGTGTGTACTAGCAAAACATTCCAACACTCCTATGAACAAAGGTCCTAGAAGCAGAGAGCATGTGCCAATGAGAATGGTACACACTGACATACACTGGTGTGCAAAAATTAAGGACGAAGTCGAAAAATTAGCATATCAGCTGAACGAAGAGGCAGAGAGGACAGAAAGACCAATCAGGAGATTAAGTAAGGTGATGTACGGTAGCACATGCACAGATATACAGGTAGACGTAATGGGGGAGTGTCTGAGTAGTATAAAAGCATGTTGTCGGTGTAAGATCAGTATTTCTGGCAAAGAGATTGCACGCCGTATAGCAGTTAAAATCACACCGAGTTTGCTGCCTCAGCGAGAAATGGCGAATAATCAATCTGTTAGACGACATCTGGATGCTTTTACCCCGAGGTCAAATCATTGGGAAGTTGGAGGAAGGCCGCAGTGTGACAGGTGTGGCTGCAGAGTTCGGAATTGCTCACCAGCATCGTTTCATGACTTTGGAAACAATTTCAAACTACAGGAACAGCTATCCGGGGGTTTAGTAGTGGTCGTCCACGAGGAACCACACCCGCAGATGACCGGTATATTGCCTTACAGGCCAGAAGAAACAGGCGGCAGAAGACAGCGGGAGAATTGCTAGACACACGACACAGGCACCTGGACGACGGATATCGCGTTTTACCGTGGCCAGAAGACTGCACGGTGGTGGTCTGTTTGCACGACGCCCTGTGCGGTGTGTACCTCTAACGCCTGCCCATCGGAGAAGGCGTTCTCTGTGGTCCCGGGAACACTGGAATTGGAGAGACAATGAATGGCAACGAGTACTCTTTACAGATGAGAGCAGATTCAGTCTGAGTAGCGATTCTCATCGCATACTCATCTGGAGAGAGTGGGGAAGCCGCAATCATCCCTCGAACATCATTGAAAGGGACAGGTATGGAGGTGGCGGTGTTCTCGTTTGGGGAGGCATCATGCTTGGTAGTCGTACAGACCTTCACATCTTCGACGCAGGTTCAGTCAACGGGACCCGTTATTGTAACGAGATTCTTCTTCCATATGTGCGTCTTTTTAGAGGCGCTATGGGTCCGCAGTTCCTTTTCATGGATGACAATGCACCATGTCATCGCACAGTAGCTGCCGAACAGCTCTTAGAGAGTGAGGATATTGAACATATGGATTGGTCGGCACGATCTCCGGATCTCAATCCCATCGAGCATGTATGGGATTTTCTAGGCAGACGTTTGGCAGCTCGTACCTTACCACCAGTAATGATTCCGGAGCTTCGATTGGCACTGCAAAACGAATGGGCAGCAATGCCTCAACAACTCATTGACACCCTCATTCTCAGCATGGGCAGATGCTGTGAAACCTGCCTAGCAGTCAGGGGAGATCATATCCCCTATTAAAGACCGGATGTTTCTTGCTGGACACCCATCACAGGGATGTTTCGGCCTTCAGTTGCATTGCGCTCCATGCTACTTTTTCAATAAAGCTTCTTTTTATCCCTCTGATTTCTCTTTTAGTAAGTGTTGCTTACATTACTCATGTCCCTTACGTATTGGGGATCTTACGGTATTAAATGTGTTGATTTGGAAAGCTTTTGTACAAAGTTATATTGAAAAAACCGTCTCGTCCTTAATTTTTGCACACCAGTGTATGTGGTCTCATTGATCCACCCACTAGGGAAGGTGAAAAGTATTTTGCTACAATCATAGATGATTTTTCTAGATTTACTGAAGTGCATCTCTTAAAGCACAAGAGTGACATAAATGAAGTGTTTAAATTGTTCCTAAAGCAGAATCCTGATCTCTACAAAATCCGGTGTGATAATGCCAAGGAATACATGTCTGGTGAACTAGCTCGTTATTGCAAGAAAAATGGCGTTATGATAGATCCTGCTTCCCCATATTCACCTCCTTTAAATGGTGTGACTGAGATAGCCAACAGATATATTTTAGAGAAGGCCCGAGCTCTAATATGTGAAGCAAAGCTTTTTAAATCCTTCTGGGGCTATGCTGTACAGACAGCTGCATATCTCAAGAATAGAATTCCAAATCAGACTGTTGAAAATGTACCTTATGAGCTCAAATATGGGAAGCCGCCAGATTTGAATATTATTAAGGAGTTTGGATCTGATGCATACATGAGAGTTCCTGATAACTTAAGAAAGAAATTGGATCCCCAAAATCAAAAAAAGAACGTGATTTTTATTGGATACTCTACCATGGGTTATCGTTTACTGGACCCAGTCACAAATCATGTTGTGGTTTCTCGAAATGTATTGTTCAATGAAGAGAAAAAGAATGTATCTCAGTTCAAGATGATTTTTCCCGTAGAAAGTAAAGATCCTGCTAAGGATAAAGTAATATGTGATTCAAGTGATGTAGAATCCAGAAATCTTGAAGAAAGTCATGAAGAAATTACTAGGCAAAAAAGAAATATAAAATTATCTGTAAAGTTGAATGATTACTTTGTGTATGAAGCTAATGTGGCAACTCTTGATACAGTAACATATGAGGATATAACATCATTGCCAAAAGAAGAAGCAAGTCCTATGGAGGAAAGCCATGGATGAGGAAATAGCTTCTCTTAATAAAAATAAGTGTGGGGGGAGTTAGTCAACTTGCCAAAGGATGAAAAGCCAATATCCTGTAAATGGGTGTTGCGCATCAAACGAAACAATGTTTACAAAGCTAGACTGGTTGCTCGTGGCTTTGAACAGAAGCCAGGCATTGATTACTTTGAGACCTATGCTCCTGTAAATTAGTACATCATCACTTCGACTTGTGCTGGCTATCATTATTCAAAAGAATCTTGAAATCTATGCATTAGATGTAAAGACTGCATTTCTGAATGGTGATCTCCAAGAAACAATCTACATGGAACAACCAATGGGCTACAGTGACAACAGTGGTCGTGTGTGCAAGCTTCTTAAGAGTCTTTATAAGACTTAAGCAAGCACCGAGGCAGTGGTTCAAGAGATTTACTGATTTTATAATTAAGTTAAACTTTCAACAAGTCTGTAAACTTTCAACAACTTCAACACTAACTGTGAAGCATGTACTTTTGTAAGAAGAACTAAACAGAGTGAAATATTTATTGTGCTGTATGTGGATGACTTGCTAATTGCTGGTTCTAATGATTCAGAGGTAAAAATTGTGATTGAACTACTTAGAAATGAATTTGAGATGTCCAAGGCTGAAGTTGCAAATGAATTTCTAGGAATAAGTTTTGAATATTCACAGAACAAACTTACTTTAGGCCAAAAGTCTTATGTTGAAAAATTGTTAAATAGATTTAGAATGTTAGATTGTAAGCCATCTGATACTCCTCTAGTGCCTAAGTCAACTTCATCAAATTTTGTGAATGGTGAAAGATTTCATGGCCCTTATCGTGAACTTGTAGGTGCTTTGCTGTACCTATCTATGACAACTCGTCCTGATATTCTGTTTTCTGTGAACTGTCTGAGTCAGATACAAGAACAACCCACTAACAGTGCTTGGGCTGGTCTGAAGCAAATTCTTCGATATTTAAAAGGGACATCTGAACTCAAATTATTATTTTGTAAATCTAATAGTGTTGATATTATGTTAAATGTTTATGTTGATGCTGATTGGAGGTCAGATACAAATGATAGAAAATCTATTTCAGGGTATATTATTTTCTTTAATGATTGTCCTGTAACTTGGTCTGTTAAAAAGCAAACATCTATTGCTCTGTCCTCTACTGAGGCAGAAATTTTGGCTTTAGCAAAAGCTATTCAAGGACCTAACTGTATTTTATAATGTATCTAAAGAAATTTTAGGAGTCGACAATATTAAAGTTTCAGTTTATGAGGATAATCAGTCTGTAATTAAAGCAATATTGAAATGAAAGTAATTGTGCTAGACTAAAACATTTGGATATTAAAAATTAAAGTATATTAGGGATATTGTAAAATTGTATGATATAAATCTTGTATATGTTTCTAGTGAAAATCAGTTAGCTGATTTGTTTACAAAATGCTTGCCTAAACCAAGATTATGTTATTTAAGAGATAAATGTAAAATAATATGTGATTAAGGGAGGGTGTTGAGAATAATCACACATACTCCCCGTTTCTGATTAATGTCATGTATTTTAACCATAACTGTTTTATACTTTTGCTTAGGTTGATCTGGTAACAGTTGTAGTTGTCCTTGGTCATGGTTTGATATGTAGAAACGTGCTGTGCCATGTGCGTGAAATTCCATCTTTAATAAAGCCTCTACTTAATTATCATCGGCCTCTGATTCACCTTTTTTAAATCTTTCAAACTATCGTATTAATTAGACGATCACACCACCACCCGAAGGCGAAAATAAGAAAGGCAAATCAGGGTAAATTATCAAATTAATGAGATGCACAGCGAGTAAGCCTGCATTTTACTATTTTGAGTAGCTTCTACAATTGAAACAGTTTTGGCATTTAAATTGTATTCCATAAGATTTAACTTGAAATTAATGTAGATAATTACTGAGAGAATTAGATTTTCGTAGCGTAGTTTACGTGAGATAAGATCACTTGGAGTCACGTGATACGACCGGTGAATCAGGATGTTGAACCATGAAAGCATAGTAAATTCTTAAATTAATGTCTTTTTACAAATTTATTATCTTTATTTATTGGCTTTTAATAAAATTTTAATGCACATTAAAATGTTTATGCCTTCAAAATAAAAAATTCTTAGAATTAACATTGGTTAACATTTTTTATGTGTATACTGTATGTTGTTGCCAATAAAGTCTGCTTGGCAAGATTTGGCTAATAAAAACATATTTTATTTATTATATTAATATTTTAATTAATTATTAAATATAAATAATTTAGACAATATGAGTTATAAATCATTTATATAATAAACTAAACAAAAAGAAGAAATTCTAAGAGCAGCTAAATAAAAAATATTTTAATAGTTTTCAGGTTTATTTTATTTTTCTGAGTACAACTTTAAAAAAAAAAAATCAATACTTTTCTCAGTTTTGCTTGAATTTAAAATTTTTGCTCTATTCAGGTAAAATAGGCATGCTTTTCTGCATGTATATCAAATATTTGTACTACAAATACTTTAACAGCATTCATGAAATATTTAAAAAAAAATCTGAACTGTAAATCTGTTTTTGTATTTCAAAATTTTTATATCTATAGCATGTTTTATCAATAACTTCGAAGTTACAGGATGATTGTTGCCTAAACACTGAGGATGATTGTAGTCTAAATACTGCGTGTATGGTATTTAACACTGAGTGTAGGTCAACAAAATAATACTTCAGGAATAATTAACCATATCATTTCACAAATACTGCATTTATGCATAAACTAATTTAAGCTCAATTACGTTTAAATAAAAATCAAATTAGAAATTCCATCAATATATAAATAAATAATTTGTATAAATTGTTGCAAACTTTTAACTTAGTGCACTAAATTGTGTCATACTTAGAGATCAATTAACTATGTGCTTAATCCAACACATCCCGCTCCAGGAATTGTTCCTCCTGCCCTTAGAGATATGCATTTAAAAAATATTACTCCCAAAAATATCATGCTCTCTCTAAAACTTCACTTTAACTGTTTTAATGCCATAAGCTTTTATTAGAACTAATGGACAACCATACAATAAAAATTATACACTCAAAAATTCTGATTGCAACCCCACCAAATTTAAATCTATAATTTTATAGTTATATAGAGGTTTATAATTATACAATATAAAGGTTTATAATTATATAAAGTTTTATAATTTTATAAATTAGTTCCTATTTATATACTAATTTTATTACAATTTCTTTTTTTAAATTAATGTCTTATTCTTTGCAGATAGTATGAAGCTATTTTAAGCATCTCACTTATCTCAAAACTGTTCTTGGCTTAAAGCTTAAAAAGAGTTTAAAAAAAATTCTGCCATTCTAAATTCATACATTAAATACTCTAATATTTATGATAATCAAAACAAAGTTTTGTTTCTAGTTTTCAAAAATTAGAAATTACTGAATTAAAATCTATTAAAAATAAAAATGAATTACCCTCATTGATCATTAGGTGACGGAATGAGCCCCAAGTTCCTCGCTTAAAAACATTCATTGTGAGGTTTTTCTCCACAACATCCTGATAGAAAGAACTTTTCAAACTGAAACTAGGAAGCTTCTGATTTTCTTTGCATGTGAATATACACCTAAAAGAAAGGAATCACATTAATTCCCAATTACAAATAACATTAAAAGGATAACTAGGAACTTCTGATTTTCTTTGGATGTGAATACACATAGAAGAACATGATCATATCAAAGGGCAAAAATAAAATATTTATGTCCTTGGATATTTCCTGAATGTACTATGGAATTAAATTTATTTCAATATGCTGCAATATTATCCCAAATAAGAGCTCTTCTGAATTTCATACATTAAGGTGACAAATATCTAAAAGAATAATTATATCCATACATACCTGACATTTGAACCTCCAGGCTCTTGCCTCAGACAGTTAACAAGTCCAATTATTCCACTGCTGTTGGAATTTTCACTGACTAGCCATATCCTGGAAGGTTCAGATGAAGTCTGAGACGCAACCAACTTTTCCTTCAGAAGAGTAACCCAACTATCTAGTTTATCATGCATGACAGAAATAACAGTGTCAATGTACTGAGCATCTTGAGATTTTCTTAATAAATATAAAGTTGATGCTAATGAATCAGATTTTTTACATACAATTTTTAAATTCAACTCTTTAAATGACTGCTCCAGGTCTGATTCTGTATGAATTGGAATGACAGTCTCTCCAACTGCAGAAAGAAACATTTCAGAAGGAACAAGGCGAGTTTTCTGCAGCACAATAATAAAGCCTTGATCTTTCACTGTTGTAAATGCATTTTCAAGAACTCGTTTAAATTCTTTTTTACCGCAACTTAAGTACTTCATAACAAGAAGATCAACTTCTTTCAGATCTAGGGATGATTTCAAGTCCCAAGGAACTAAGTTGATATTTTCAGAGTCAATGCTTTCCTTTTTTAATCTATCAGGTGCAGCATGAGCAATTGTATAATTGGCATGAAACAATCCAAGAGCTTGAATAAGTTCACTGATTTTTGTACAGAATGCTGTTGTTCCATCAGCTATTTCTGCTATTTTTAACTTCCTGGAACAGACATTTTCAAGAACGACATCTAATACAGTTCTCAAAGGAACTTCCTGCAACATTGTCTGAGCTAAAATATCATTATCTCTCTCATTCAAATAAATGTTAACAAAATTTTTTACATGTCGAGTTAGATCTTTGCTAGTTGCTGTGTTCATAATTCCACATAATGATTTTAACAATGCATGATCTTCAGTGTATGATTTTAAATAAGCAGCAATTAATGCATCATCGGCTTCTTTAAATCCATTCATAACATCTGTAATTTGATCTCTGTTTTTCCCAGATAATTCCAGTATCATTTTTGATACTGAAGAACACACATGAATGTATCGCTCTAATGTTTCTTGATCTGATTTAGAAAGAATGCATGATTCATTATAGGGAACAAATCTATACTCTTCCAAAAGAGGAACTTGCTTGCACTGTTGTCGAGGTGCAATACTAGCTTTTAAATTTTTGAGTTCAACACCACCTGCAAGACATCTCCGGACACATTTCTCATTGATAACAGGGACACCTATAAGAATGAAATCATAACAATGAAACATAATAATTACCATGCAATAAAATTTTTTATTGTTGTGCTTTTAACTCAGAAAATTAATGCATTTGTTTCTTAAAATATAATATCCTAACCATCACCACAATGAAAAAAAGGATTAAATAAATATAAACTAGATATTTATCTAATTTTCCTACGATTTCAAGCCTAATTTCAGCTAAACATAATATTCAGTACCTCTAAAATAATGCAATACATAATTAACCTTCAATAAAAAGGAAATTATACATGCTAAGGAATAAATAAACAACATTTATTAAAAATTTATATATAAATGATAAATTAAAAAGTTTTTAATACCATTCATTGAAATGCAAAAACACAAGAAAATTTGTTTCTTTAAGATATTTCTAGTTTAGTTTAAAAATTTTTAAAAATGATATATAAATGTATGTATGGAAAAATGTTTTATTGAAATCATTAATAAGTTAGCTTATTTTTGTAAAATGCCATCCTATGATTGTTTTTGAAAGAATTTAATATTTTGCTAAATTTCAGTTTAACACACAGAAAATCATCTTCACAGCAAACATTATATCAGTTCTTTTAGCAAGATATTTTTGGTTTAGGGCTAAAACTTTTTAAAATTATATAAAGGATAATCATATACAATGTTATCTTAGTATATACCAATTATTCATTTCAGTTCCTTGGATATGTACCAAATGTACGTTTTCCAGTAAGAAATAAGGGGAAAATAATTAATCCATTCTTATAAAAAATTATAATTGTTTTTAATACCAAAATAGAAACTCAGTGGGTGAAATACATACTGCTCATAAATGAAGCACTATATGTAAATATTTTGCTGTTATCTTAAGCACTTTTTCCCATGCTTCAACATCACTGATCTTTAGTAATCAACTTCATCCCCTTCGAAATGTTACCTGATTTTAAATTTTTGTTTTTCACAATTATAGACACAAGCATACTTGGGTATAAGGTATGCAATAGCCAAATCCTTGATAAGCATGCCATCTTCATACTATTAAACAATCTATTTTTTCACCTCTGGTGTCCTGATAATTTTCTTCAGTGCTTGATTCTTACTAATTTTCCTAAAACTCATTGTCATATGAATTAAAAAAAAAACCAAAACCATTAAAATTAGAGATATAGCATAGTTTGTTTATTTGAATAGTAGCAACCGATGTATTGAAGCTCATTGTCTCGAAAGAGACAAACAAATGCAGAGCATCAGTTCTGACTCTTTGAACCTGAGTAGTATTCCAAACAAATATTTTATGCCAAACAAAAATTTTCATGTACGATGTTTTCATGTTCAATTTCTTGGATGAAAACCAAGGTGGACATATACTGAGGTACCACTATGCAAATAAATGGGAAATTATTTTGCTAAATAGGAAACTATTTTACTAAAAAACACTAATAAGCTAGATTATTTTTAATAGAATGACATCCTATGGCTGTTTTCAAAAGAATTTAAAATTTTGCTGAACTATGATTTAGCATGCAGAAAATCATCACTACAGTAATAATTGTCTATTGACAAAATAAGATCCTCTTAACAATTTCACTGTACTTGTGGGCATACAATCTCCTTTGATAATCTTTTCTCTCTTTTTAAAAGTGATATTCTATAATGAATACATTTTCTGTAAATTAATTAATTTACAGAAATTTAACATCCTATTAAAAATTTTAAAATGGTATATTTTAAATATGAATTTTTTTTATCACAAAAATGAAAGTAAAAGTAATTACCATGATATTCTTCCAGTGATTTCTCCACAATATCATTGTGAAAAATAGGATTAATTTTTAACTGTTGAATTCTAGTAGGAAGACATAATGCACGTTTTGGTGATCCTAAAATTGTGAACTGAAGCATTGTATCTAAGAATACCACCCAATCACCAGTCCACTTTAATAAACCTTGCTCACCTAGGAATCAAGAAATTAATTTGAATGACATGAAACAAAGAAAAAACAGTTTACTTTAAATTTTAATTGGTGAAGATAATTTTTAAAATTAAAAAAATTACCTTCAAGATCAGATTGAATTACTCCTTGGAAGGTAGGCCCATAGTCATAACCTCTTAATCTCAATTCCTTATAAATGTCACTGCTATTTAATTTTAAAGTTTTGGGGCCATTCTTTGAAACTGCAATGGGTTCAATTTTTGTGGTCTCTTCTGGTGAGTAAATCCGTCCAGTACACACTGTCATGCCACCTTCGGAAATTTCAAATTCTCCACCAGCATTTGTGATATCAACAATAAACTTAGTGGATGCTAAGAAAAAATAAAAAGGAAAGAGCTCTTTAAATTTCATAAATAAATCATATTACTTGTTCGTTGCCACCCAGAAGGTATAATGATGCTGACTACTGTATGAATGGAGTCAGGTTAGAATCTTGGCCAAAAAAATTGATGTTTGTAAATATAAAGAGTCTGTGTGGCAAGGTGCATTCAAAATATACAGTCTGCTGCTTCTCAAGTGGTAAATTTATAATAATAGGTAATAAAATAATTTACAAGATAGTGCAGCTAATAGCTAACTTTAACTAACAGCAAAACTTTAACATTTTCAAAAAGTAAAATCAATACGTACCGGTCTTAGACAACACAGTAGCTCGATGTATCTTAACTTCTTCAAATGTTACTGGTAAAGCTGTCATTTCCTTGTTTTTCAATTCAGCAAAACCTTTCCATACCAACACTAAATAGCCAGTAGCTGGATATAAATATCTACCATCAATGCAGTGACCCAGCAAGTAATGATCTGGAGAATCTGTGGGTCCAACATTCACTTCTACTATCATCTGTGACTGATTTGTACTTTTATCCCATTTGGCTACTGTCCAGCTCTCGGAATGATCCCATTTTATCAGTGAAGAAATATTGGGTGTACCTTTAGGAACAGGCAACTGTACTTTAGGATATAGATTTTCAATTTCCGGATTTAATCCAGCAGCAAATAATCTAAAGAGAAAATTTAAAATGTGTTACGGTATATCACAATTAAACTTACTCAAATTAATAAAACTGAGACACTATTACTTTCATAATGAGACCATTCAGGATTTTACATTACGACATGATGAGATAATTATGAGAAAATTAATTTTTAACAATTTAATAGTAAACATATGAAGAAGTTCAATTTAATAAACCAGCACAAATAAACCAAAATTGAATATACATTCTCATTTTTAAATTGAATATACTTCCTCTGTTTACTGATACCTAGTAAACAATCATTAATGAAATACCTAGTAAACAATCATTAATGAAAAACAAAAATTGTATTTCTTTTAAATAGTAAAAAAGTTATATTTGTCTTTCCCTTTAAAAATATTTTTTCAGATTTTTCTTTCACTTTATTCAATTAAGGTAACACTATCAGAAAGAATTTTAGAAAGCATGATTTAAATGAAATAATTTTCTAATACCTGCATGATAACGGAAAGCGAAGGCAATTTACATAATTAATTCATTAATTACATTCATTTCTTTAAGAATCAAATTTAGCACTTATTCATGCTGCATTTCTGCAGTTATTTTATACAAACAATGGAAATGTAAATGGGCTAATTTGCCTAGTCCATAATATTTGTTTCTTGTTATTTCACAGAAAATAAAGGTATTCATTTAAAAAAAGTACAATGAATAGATTTTAATGAAAACTTAACTGTTCAAAAGAGACAGCCATTTTCTACATTAAATTTCAATGCATTTATAAAAATGCTTTTAATTATACCACATGCATCACAAACATCTCATTACATTTTAAAATCATCTACAAACTGCACATGGAAAAAATTCTGAATCTGGATTCTTTAAATTTCTACTATGCCAATATAGAGGCATATAAGTTCTTTCAAATGCTTTCATACCTTACTAAAAGAAAATAGCATAATGCTGCTTACGTTTTTATGTTGTTCATTAAAAAAACTCTACTTTTTATGCACAAATATTCATTCACAATCTTAAATTTCGATTAATTTAAAATGTGAGAAAATCACAAAGCATGGAAATTTTATTATATGCTGAATAACATAGTAGTTCACATGAAATATATTCATTACATATTTTATATAAAGATTAGTATTAAATGTAAATTAGATTATAATTAAATGAAAAATTTATTATTACATAGAAGTATTTAAAGGTTTATCTTTATAACCTAAATTATAATTATTACTACATATTATAAAATTATTGTTTTTGTAACCAATTATCACAAGGTATTGAAGATGATCATTATATATAAATGCACTGATAAATAATTAAAATTATATTCCAAAGTGCAAATGATATTAAAATGAAATTCAATATACCTTGCCTACAATTAACAAATTTTATTAAATTTTGTTAATCTAAAATTTATTTTAAAGTATATTTTCTATGGAATATTAGGAATTTATAAAATTCAGTGTTAAATACTAATATAAAGGGTTAAATTTATTCAACAGAAATAATATTTAAATTTATCATCTCTGAATTCTATAAGTCTTTAAATTAGAGTTCAAACATCTGTGGCACTTTTGATTTACTGTAATATTGAAACTTCCAGGTATGAAATTTCATTTAAAGCTTGATATATTTTCTTGTGTTTTACCTTCCTATACTTGAGAGCAAATGCACTGAATTGTCAACATTCCTTTTCATCAGGCCAATGTATTCCGCATCTGGGCCTATAACTCTTTTTAGTATAGCTTGCAACAAATGATGAGGAGCTATTTCAAGCACAATGGCATCTTTGGGTACATAGTGTAAAGCTTCATGGAAAAGTACAGGAGAAACTAAATTATGCACAAAATAAGAGGCATCAGCCAATTTGGCTGAAGGTTCACCCCATTTATCCTCAGGATATGATGAACTAATCCATCGACTGGTTCTTGGCTTTGGATTAGGAATAACCTACATAAAAGAGCAGATACAATGCACCTTGAATAAAATTATAAAAATTTACAAATAAGTAAATAGATCCATTATTATATAAAAATATTACTGAATTGTAAGTGAATTATATAAGAGGATTTAAATTACAAGCCTACAGATCTAAAATGAGATATATTTATAATGTTTTTCAATAATATAAGAAACATATGGATTATATGATAAATTTCAAATATTTCAACATAAAAATTAACTCAAGTATGGATGAATGTAACTGACACGGGAAAAAAATTACATTTTAGTTTGATTTCTTTTGTTAAATTTTAAATAATCTTATCCAGAAGTCTATAATTTAATATTTGTTTGAATAAGTTTACTGCAAAGAACACGATCTTGAATCTATTAAAAGTTACCCTCGCTTCCCAAAGCAGCATAAAGCACAAGACAAATATTAGCTTGTAAACTGAAGAATATTAATAGCTACAGTTATAAAATCAGTATTTTATTATTTAACAGGTACTTGATTACTATATAAAATTAGAGAAACTTAATGATACATACTTTTTCCAAGGAAGTCTGCAATTTCTGAGCAGCAGGGTAAATGTAGTGACTGTGAAATGCATACCCACAGCTATCAACTTCTCGGGCAAATACATTTTCAGCTTTTAATGCTTCCACAAACATTTTTACACTATCTTTGGGACCTGATACAGTTACAGAATCTTCTGCATTATGACAAGATGGATAAATATCTTTGGGACAACATTTATGTGCTTGAGACCAGGTAATACCTGAAAATTTAAGATTAAATTACTTAATATATTCAGTAAAACTGAAGAAAATCATGAAAAATACAATAACATAGTATAATAGAAGTGGTTAAGTTATCCAGATTAAAGCTACAATAAGAACCAAGGAAACTTTCGTAACAATCTCATCACTTATTTTGGTTGCTTCATAGTAACTACCTATGCCAATAATCTGGCTAGCCTTTTTTTCTTTTTCTCTTTTTAAACTTCTAGTAGATACTACAACTGGAATGTAGACTCAAATGAAGCAAGCAATATAATCTCACACATTTCCTGGATTTTCCACTATCATCTCTGGGTCTTATGTAGTGAAGAAAGAATAAAGCTCATTGTTTTTCTACAATGCAGTCGATGACAGGAAGGTAGATATTTAGTGCAAGTTCTCAGTTTTAAAATGCCTCTCATAACCTGTCAACTTCAGATGTCCCACAAAAGCAAAACAGTTATATGCTATTGTTTACGAGAGTCTTAAATAATGTGAATTATAAATTCTTTTTAGGAAGAAGAAATATTCTAAGTTAACATGCCAAGAAAACTGACATTATTTAACTTGTTCCTGATTTCAAACACAAAATCTAGTTACATCTAATACCCTTTCACATATATAAATGATGAGATTTAAAATTTTTACACAAGTAGCTGCTTACATGGCCAAGCACCTAAAACAGCTATTTTAACTCTTTCGCATCGAGAGAGGGCAAAATCTCAATTTCCCAAAACATCGAAAACGCCCGTATCTAAGAATTTCTCCTGGATTGCTTTTCCTTCCCCCATGACAAGTTGAATACTACAGCGGTAACAATAGCCTTACTTAAGCGAGAACTTCTTTCTTCGACGCTTTGACACTGTGTGAAGTTCCCCCTTGGGACGGGATTGCAACTTCGGGCATCAAAAGCTAAACACTGACAGTAAACAAAGGAAACAAGGAAGCTACTTTTTGTAGCTTCAAAAGAATGCTTGACATGCGATTTAACAACACCTGAAAGCAATGAGTAATGCAGTAATGTGATGGGGGAAAGCACTGGGTAGGAAATTATTCAGGCGTCCAGCAGATGTCTGAATGTTTGGGCATTTGAGGCGAATTCGATGCGAAAGAGTTAAAAAAGGAAAAATATGTATATAATCATTTTAATGAATCCAGCTAATGTAATTTCCTGAGTCTATCTAGTAATTAATGATAATAGAAATGAAGATCTGTGTTTACTGCTTTAAAATTGAAATAAAATATGAAAATAAAAATTCAGAATTCAAGCTTTAAGCAGTACAATGTTTGAGTAAAGGGCTATGTTTGTTCAAGATTTGGTGGTTCTAGAAAATTCAGAATTCAAGCTTTAAGCAGTAATGTTTGAGTAAAGGGCTATGTTTGTTCAAGATTTGGTGGTTCTAGGTACTATCATTTTCCCACAATGCGAAATACATACAGATAAACACACAGATTCTTCATTATTAATAATAGAGATAATTTTATCCACACAACATTTAGGAAACTGGGAGATTCTGTGAATGATTGCAAATATATAAGTATCTTACAAAAAGTAATTTTGAGTCATAAGCAATATTAATTAAGCATATATTACACATTACAGACTTTCAGAAATCAGATAAAACTTCCTAATGCTGTTGTTGCACTAAAAGAGTTAAAGCTCAACTTAGAACATCATAGTAATTGTAAATACCAGGAAAATGATTACAGATTTAAATAGAGGCAAAATGTAATTAATTTTTTTAAGAAGACCACTCACACTGTTTTACATGTTTTTAGTCATCCGTGAAGGTGTTCATTTTACAGGTGATGTTCAGTACCTATATTTCTTAACATACTCAGAAGCACACTATCAGAGGTGATTGCTTAAGGAAGATGATCACCACTACTGGGTTCATTGTAATTGAAATAGGAGTTTTCATTTCTTACTATCAAATAATATGATTTTTGAAAATAAATTCATTTATCATTTACCAAGAGCAGCCATTGCCCCTTCTTCTAGATTTGAATCTTCAACAGCTTTTCCTCTCCAATAAGCTGCAAGCACCATCTGTTCAGCTGTAAAACTACCATCTGCATACGCACAACCTAATTCACCTACACTATGGCCAACAATACCATCAGGCTCAATACCTAGCTCTTTGAGTATATCAACAAGAGCAACCTAAAAAAAAAAAAGGAAATATTAATTTAATATATATACTAATATATCATCTTGGTGATTTTACAGAATATATTAGACATATAGAATAACTATCAAGAATTTTCTCTCTGTACTGCACTGCTAATAGCTAAAATTTCAAAATTTGTAGCTGTATAACAGAAAATACATGATTCACAGTTCTTTAAAGTTCTTCATAGATTGGAAAGTAACAGGTCACAAAATAAGAAAAGGAAAAGAATTATTATATATTTAACTTCAATAAGAAATACTTAACATGAAAATATACAATGAGCTCACAATTTAGTCCCCCCCCAAATTAAGACAGGTTAAAAAAAAAAAAACCTAAATTTTCACTCACTATTTACAGGAGATGTGGGATCAAAATTTAGAATTTATTCAACAGTTTTGGTGCAGCTCAAATTAAAAATATTGAATAATTTCAAATGTAATATAGAATATAAATTTCTTATGATATAGACTACAAAGATTTAATTTCTTTCACTTGAGGGAATCGCAAACACACTGCCTCAATTTATGCTATGCACTGAATTTTGACATTTTTGAGATAATTTTAAAAATAAAACTTAGATAATGGTACTGTTCCTAATAAACAGTAATACACATTATTAATGTTATTAATATGTAACTCCAATAATAATTATTCACATTGCAACCAACAAAATTCTGGAAATGCTAGAAATTCAGAGTACAAAATCACTTAACGATCAAGCATTTTTTTAATTTGAGAAAAATATCATAACTGAATAACATACTGCATAATATTACTAACATATAACAAGTCTCAGTTTCTTAAATAAAAATAAACTACTAAATACTTTAAAGGACAACATTACACTTTTGTAGGTTAACTATTCAAACTTAGAAATTACTGAAATAAAAGAGACCTGAAGATACTAACCTGAACAGCTGCTATTGAAACAAAAGCTGGTATAATACTCCTTGCATTAGAAGTGTCTTTTACACCATTGGTTACTAAATCAATGAGGTCTAAACCATAAAGTTTTAAGACCTCTGCTGACTGCCGAATAGAATGTGCAAAAACATCCAAGTTCATTAGTTGTTTTGCCATACAAGGCCACTGAGTACCCATGCCAGAAAATATATACCATACAGGACGTTTTTCAGCAGATACTTGCTGCAAATACAAGAAATGAAAGTGTAATTATAGCACGATTTTTTGATTAAATTTTATGCAAGTAAACGATTTAGGATCTTAAGAATATGATACATTTTAGAACTATAAAAAGAAGTACATTTCGGAGTGCATCACAAATTTCAGTATATGGAAAAATAGAAATTCAGTTTTTATTAGTTTCTAAAAAATTATAATATTTTTAAAATGAAATTAAATGTAAATTAATGTTTGCAATATTTCTCTTGTTTGTTTATTCTTTAATTCTACTTTTTTATGCATGGGTATTTTCAAAAAGTAACAAGAGAACATGGCCCTTTTACCTATATATATATAAATCAACAGCAATATATACAGGGTGGTCAGAAAATCCATTTACTTATGCAGTTACTTCATTGTAACATTAATAACAGTTATTTCTCCAAAATGTCCGTATGTGCACCACCATTATCTCTGCACAGCTTGATATGCCTGAATATCCTCTAAATCAGCTGTGATATCACATGCTATTCACGCACACTTGCCTACAGAGCATTCATTGTCCACTTAGTGCTTTTTCCTGATGTATGATTTAATGATCCCCCCACTGGGCACTCTCTGTTGTTGTTAGATTTGAATATCGAGGCAGCCAAGGATAAGGGGCTGGTGGATTTGGGAACCCACGTTCCACCAGCAAGGGAACAGTTCATTCAGAAATTCACAAACAGCAAATGCAAAGTTGAGAGATCCATCGTGTTGATAAACAATTGAGTCACTAATGCCCGAATTTTGAAATTGTGAAAGAAGCCAGTCATTCAACATCTTCAGAGAAGTAACCTGGACATGGAATCCTCAAAGAAGCACAGACCAAAGATATGTTTTTCAGTCATTCCTGCCCAAAGCTTTCTTCTTCCATGGGATGAAAGTCTGACAACTTGGTGGTTCCTTACTGAACCATTCACAAAACTTATCTATCACCTGTGCCATATTTTTGTTGTGTTTCTGTTCATGGTCCAAACACTTTTCACTAAATGCTCCTCCAATGTGAAGTGGCTGATACCTGCCATTATATCTACCATTGTTCTTCACCAAGCACAGAGAAATTGCACAAGTCAACACACAGACTTTAATCTCCTCCCCCGGCAGTCATGCGGCAATCACACTGAAATTCATACGAGGAGTACTATTGCCATATCAACGATCAGAATCCGAGACTTAGAATTTACGTATCTTACCATCTTATACTGTTACACGCATTTAGTTCAGGTGTAAAAGGATTTTCTGGCCACTCTGTATATATACATATATACACCGCAGACCAAAATTTATGTAGCTGGTGTTTTGGGTTAACATATTTAAGAAATGATGTATGCAACTTCAGTATGAAGTTTGTGATAAAATGATCAAAATTTAGTTTATTTCACATAAATTTTTAAATAAACTAATTTCAGTAATATTCTGTGGAAAAGAATAAAAATATTACTTAGTACATTTAAATTCATAATCTTTTCCCTTTAAATGTCCATTAGACACAGATATATTCCACAGTATGAAGTTAATGTGAATTCACTTAAAAAGTAATAAAACTTTTTGAAGTACATTAAATAAAATGGAGTCTCAGTATTTTAACATACAGACAGAAAAAAGTTAATTAACTGCATCAAAATTGTTAGATGATGATTCAGTCTGCTTCTAATAACACTGTATAATTTTATTACTGTAATAACTTATGATGCTATGCTGAAGATACAAAACTTCTTTAACCCTCTAAGTGGCAAAGCCATATATGTATGGCCTAGAATATTTTTTGTGATATCTGTAAGAACATACATATACATGCATATTAAAACGTGTCAAAGAAATTAAGGCAATATATCAAAAGTACACAAAACCAGGTATGAAATACCCGGAGAGTTTTTACATTAAAATCAAAAAAATAATTTGCTCTCATAGTAGTTTTGGGAAATTTGTGTTTTCTTAGTGAAAACCCTTGCTACTCAGAGGGTTAAGTAAGATGCTGTATAATATGCTAATCTAATATTTGTAAATTACATTTCAATGATAAACCTACCTTAATACATTCTACTTCTTGATCAGTCCCTAAAATTTTGTATCCACGAAATGGTTTCAATTGAGGAGATGTATATACAGATTTGTGCAATAATGCAAAAAAGTCTCTGGGTGGCATTTCAGTATCCACATATTCAAACATACTTTTTACACTTTCTTCTGTTCTTCCACTGTACAAAACAAGCTGAGGAAATGGGTTTTCTGTGATACTCTTTGGCTTAGTTACAGCTTCATTTGATTTTAAAATAGCATGAACATTGACGCCTCCAAATCCAAAACAACTGACACCAGCATAACCTCCCTTCCACGGAGTTGGATCAGTTACAACTTTTACCTGCCCATCTATCAATGGTTTGATCTCAGGATTGGGAGTATTAAAATGAAGATTTGGTGGTATTAAACCATTTTCCATACCAATAAGTACCTTAACAACAGCACAGAGACCTAAAGAAAGAATAAGAAAAGTTCAAGATATACCCAACGAAGAAAATTTCTTCTCAAGACATGATGATCAAATGGGGAAAAAGCATTTAAATACAGTTACAGATGCAGTTATCATACTTTAAGGAATATCAAAGTACATAATGCTATGAACATTTTGACAATAGTAATTTATATCAATGATTAGTTTAAAGTCCAACACAGACTTTTAATAAAATTTGAAATCCAAAGGCAGTTACTATGAATTTAAACACTCTGCATTTAATAATAATAATAAAAGTCCCAACGAGTCCTAATTACAGACTTTGTACTGTACAATATATGTAGTAGATGATATATATAATGATAAATAATCTCTTTTTTATACGTGTGTATGTAATAAAATAACCATGCACTAACATACTTAATTTTATAACTAATTACTTAATTGAGTCTAATTACCTAATTGTAATAAAGTACCTAATTTTATGAGTCTAATTACCTAATTGCAATAAAGTACTTGATTTTATGAGTTTATCATTCAGATAATTCACTTCTTCTCAGGTGAACTACAGAAATAATTTTCTCATAATTAGTATTAAATTGCAGAATTAAGCTAGAAAATTGGTAAATCCTTTTTAAAGTAACCACTGCACTTAGTCACTAAAACTGGTAAACTGAACTGTCCAATTTTTAGTTTGCATAATTCAAATGTCAGCACAGTCTTAAGTACTAGTCACTTTAACAAGTACTAGATAATTTAATTTGAATGAAGCAAAAATCCCTCTGCCCATACTGAACAATTAAGGAAGATGAATAATAGAATGACAGACTAACCAGAAGATGGCTCAGAATGCCCCATGTTACTCTTAACTGAACCTACAAGAAGAGGTTCTTTTCTTCCATTGCAAAATATTTCAGCAATAGCTGACATTTCAATTGGGTCTCCTGCAGGAGTTCCAGTTCCATGTGCTTCAACGAATGACACATTCAAGGGATTTACTTTACTTTCATCATATACTGCAGCAATTAACTGTTTCTGCATCTCAGCAGAGGGGAAGGTTACACCTAAAATAAAAAGCCAATTCAAGTATGGTAAAAAAATTAATTTATGGATATATGGAAAGTATATATATATATGTATATATACATAATGATAGTAACTATACAAATTAAAGGTTTTATTTCTATTTACCTTGTTCCTTATAGCCATCTGTATTTGTTTTTATGTGTACAATAGATGCATATTTCCTTCTTGCTACATTAGCCTTTTGTAAAAATAATGTTACAACTGCTTCACTTCTGCCATATCCATTACCTTTAAGAAAAATAATAGATTGTTTTAAAATAAATGTAAACATGCAAGATATTTTGTTATACTACATTCATCTTCAAAAGAATATTATTAAATCGGTAAAAGTATATTTACGGGTACCTCTTGGGGAGCGTTGGCAATTTTTGGAGGTACATGGATACCGAGTTTGTGCAATTCTTTGACTTGTTATTTTGGCTTTGTGTAGCAGCGATTTTAGCTCCAAAAATTGCTGCTACACAAAGACAAAATAACAAGTCAAAGAATTGCACAGACTAAGTATCCATGTATACATTGACCTTTTTTCACTTAAAAAAAATCACAGAATTGCACAAACTAGGCATTGCACACTCCTTTGACTTTATCCAAGCATACGTCAACCTATTTTCACTTAAAAAGCATCAGAGAATTGCACAAACTTGGCATTGCACACTCCCTTGACTTTGTCCATATACGCATCGATATATTTTTACTTAAAAAGTCAAAGGAGCACCCAATTCTAGGTAAAAGTACATTTATGGAGCATTCAACTACTCAGGTTACCGTAAATGAAACAACTTCATGATAATACAAGGGGTACCCTTCAGTTTACTCTAACCCAGCGCTGTCATAGCTTTCAGGCCATATTTTTTCACCAAACATTTCAGGGGCCAAGAAGGTTGATAAATGAAAAAGTCAGTTTATGTTAATTAAAAAAATATTTTATTTATACTAAAAAGAAAAGTTAAAAATATTCATAATATATTAATGAGAACATTGTGGCCATAATTGTTTAGCAACAATATCTTTTATGTCCACATCAATATTTGTTGTGGCAAGTCTAATTATATCTTCAAGAGTGGAATCTTACAAACTGTTTCTATATTTTGACTTTATATATTTCATATTGGAGTATGCATGCTCGCAGATATATGTACTTCCGAACATTGATACAATTTGAAGTCCAAAATCTGATGTTTCTCTTTATCTAAAAATTTGAATATTTCTATTCCAGTTACTCCATGAGATGTAAAAAATGGGTCAGTCTGCAGGTCGCATAATTCTATTTTATATTTAAGATCAATGGAGTTGATATCATTAATTGGATCACAAAATAAATCAATAGATGGTTTAAGCTCATCAAATTGAGAAAATCTTTCATTGAAATCCGTAATTAGCATATCCAATTTTGGTAGAAATATTTTAAAATTTGCTTTTATATTACATTCCTTCATTTCTTCATAGATCTCTTTGCAAGATTCAAAATGAAATAAATTATTTTGCTCCAAATTAAACCTTAACAATTTTAATTTGTTTCTAAATCCAGTAACATATTTATAAAGGCAACACACATTTTGATCTAGTCTTTGCAAGGATTTATTCAAAATATTTAAATAATTTGTAATGTTCGTTAGGAAAGCAAGTGAATAAATAAAATTTTTATCAACTAAATTTGCTGTCAAATTTTCATCGACAGCAATTTCTGTGAGAAAAAGATGAACTTCTTTTCGAAGTGTAAAGAATCTCCTCAAGCACTTTCCAGCACTTAACCAACGAACGTTACTATGTAAAAGCAGATCTCCATATTCAGTTTCCAATTCATAAAAAATGTTTTAAATTTTCAGTGTGTAAGAGAACAATTTCCGCCACGAATTAAATTAGTAATTTTGCAAACATTCCAAGCACTGTGGTTTACCATTCTTGTTCAGAATAAATAAATAATCTATTTCCCAGCGATCTTGAAATTCTCGATTTTCGAAGTCTATTTTTTGTTATTAGTAGCACTCATATTCAATAATTATTTTAATTAATAAATAAATATGAAATTAAGTTAATAATATTATAACACAGTCACCCCTCAACAAATTCTAGGCAAGACTGCACTCGTACGATTGCATGAATCAACCAAATAGCGCAAGGTAGTGTGCACACCACGTGCACCAACCATAGATAAACAACAACCAACTACAAATATAATATGTGGAGCCAACTATCATCAGACATTAAACGGATTGCTGCTGTATTCAGCCAGGTTAAGTGAAGTTACGCAAACTAAGTAGTACCTACTTTAAATTCAAATTAGATTAATTTTCACATAGTAAAATAAATTTAATAATAATAATAATAATAATAATTTAGTAACATAAATTTATTCATAGTAAAATGCGGGCCATAAAAATAATTTGGCCAGCTCTATTAAATCACATGAAAATAAATAAAATAAACTATCCAATGATTACATTTGATTCATTATCAGCTACAAACATTCAATACAAAGTTAAAATGTGAACTTAATATTTATCAATATGAAATATTTATAAAGATTTTACATTTACAAAATTTGAAATATATTATAAACTTACATGCAGCATCAAATGTCTTGCACATGCCATCATCTGAAAGCATGTTCAACTTGTAAAACTGCAGAGCAGTTCCAGGTCTCAAACACAAGTTAGCCCCTCCAACAATTGCAGCTTCACATTCATTATTTTGAATTGCCTGCACAGCTTCATATAAAGCCAGTGCACCTGAAGAACAGGCTGTGTCCATAAGGAAGCTTGGACCTAAATTCAACAGCAATCACATATTAGTATTTTACAAGTGAAAATATTAAAATAATTATTAGAAATTTTCAAAAATACAAATATAATAAAAAAATAAGTAAAAATTTTTTAAGTAATAAAAACATGCATTTTTTATTTTAATTTTATTTTTCAATCTATTGCATTCTTGTTAATTTTTTACAAAGTATAGGTAAAACTCTCATAGCCACCACTTTTCCAAGACCTTTGAAAGTTACTAATATTTCTAAGAACATAGTTAAACAACATCACTTCTGCACATCACAATTTTCAAAAGGAACCATGGCCAACACCTTACAGAGGTTTTTTGTTAGATGTAGTATAAGATTTGTATGCAAATTATTCAAAACTAAATATTGTCAAAAGAAAATGTGATGTTTGCCCCCCCAAAAGAAAAAGAACTGCGAATAATGTTAACTCCTTGAAATTTAGAAATTGATATAATAATTTAATGCCAATCGAATAGCAGCATGTATTACTTTGTTATGCAACTGCCATGCTTCCTAGTGTTTTTTTTTTAAACATAAACACATAATTAAATGTGTTAGTTTAAGCACCACACATGCACAAATAGTTTGGTCTCCAGATCTCTTCGTATTATCACTGGGTCTTGGGGTGTGATCTGCTTCTCTTTAACAGCTGCCAAAAAGTAAAGCAGGTGCATAATGGAAAAGTACAAATTTTCTCAGTTCACCTTTAATAATGCAAAGATAGCATTCTATTATGAAATTAGGATTAAAAATCAAATTGCATATCAAATTAGCTCAATATTACACTTTTGAAAATCTTAATTTTAATACATGCAGTTTATAAACACTATCAAATACAGTACAAAGTTCGATATCCGAACTCGTCGGGACATCGGCAATTCCGGATTTGGGATTTTTCCATATATTAGATCATCAGTTTAAACCTGGTAAGATGGCATGCAGAAATTACAATTAAAAATATGAAATCATAGTTTATGAAATAAAGAACAATTATGATCTAAAGGGTATAAAAATTTACAAAAAAAGAGCTTAATATTTATTTATTTACATTATTAAATGTTTCTTTCAATGTAAGTTGTTGCTTCCACAAAAAATTCAAAAAGTTCCTTTTCCTTATGTCATATACAGTTGACTTTCCAATGCCATACTCCTCGCATAATTTTGATATGGATTGTAGATCCTTTGGCAGATCCAGAATTGGAAACTCTTTTTGACATAATTGAAAGTTCAAGCTTAGTTTTTATAAAATTGGCGCAATAATAACAGTCTGCAAAAAATAATAAGCTGGATCAAATTAGAAGATTAGGGAGCAGCGCAGTCTGCTACATTAACTGTGCTTCAGAATTAGAAAAGATAAGCACCCGTTATACATTATTGGCTGTGTATCACTAGATTGGCGATGAAAGCAAAGTTGTTTTGCTAAATTTTGTCTTGCTCTTATTGCTTACTGAAATAAGCCTGAATTTCAATAGTTTAGTTACTTACTATACCTACGTTTATTTCTTGTACATGCTTAAAACTAATCTGAGTCCTGAATAAATAAACTCTCACATATACTTAAGGCTTTATCTAGGAGCAGCCCTAGATACTGCCTAGTGCAGTCGCTAGGGGTCCTAAATTCTGCTTCAAAGTGCCTTCCTAAGTTCTAAATTTTCACCATGTCTAAACTTTGGATCCCAGTGCTTTCCCTAAATCATAAAAACTTCTCATCCCTTAATTTTGCAGCTCGGTGCTTCTCCAGATTTCAAAAATTTTGTCTTCCTTAAATTCTACTGTCTGGTGCAGACATATTCTGCCAGCGCTTCTGGATTTATGGTGGAAAAACATATCAGTTATTCTTAATTAAAATAGCACTAAATGTCATCTTTTGGCCTATGAGTTTCATTAACAAAATCTATTTTTAGCATATGAAAAGAAATTTTCATTGAATTTTTTCTTGTCAACAATTTCCTAGAGCATTTAAAAATCTGTTATCATCGCCAAGTGTAATGTTAGCATAAAAGGTTGCCATACTCTTGTTATTCAGTTCCTAACATATAAAAAAAAAAAAAAAAAAAAAAAAAAAAGTTTAGACATTGCTGCATGAGTTATTACTGAAGCTGTCATGTATTGATAAACATGCAATGATGAAAGCAAAATAAAATAAATAATGACTCATCAGGGATGTAAAATAGGTGAATGTTTGGGTTTCAGATTTATGCCAAGCAGACACTCAGCTACAGAGCCAAATTATTAATCTCATAAATTTATACTTACATGATTGTTTTTCCATAATGAGGTATTTTATTTAGTGCATAAGTGAAATTAAGAATCAGAATTTTTAAATGAAAATCTCTTACATGTTTTATTATGGAAGGAAAAATCAAATGCGCATGCATAAAGCATACAAAATAATAATAATAATGTTTGTGGCTTTCAGGTCCATATTTTAGATCATTCCGGATAATGGTCCATATGTGGAGATCTAGATTTCAGACTTTATTACTGTATATCATTTTCCCTCCCCCCTTATGAAATCAAAATGTTGCTTGCATTTTAAGAAGCTTGTAAAACATATTTTCAATTAACCTTTATTTGCTACAGCCACCTAATTTTAGAGATACATCATGCTGGATATGTACCAAAAATAATTTTATTATGTTATATGACATTAGATTAATTCTCAAATAATGCAAAATAGTTTTCATTTATTTAAAAGATACATTATAAACTATAGGAAATAAAATTGTAGAACAAAATCATATCAAATGAATTTTAATAGTTAAACATACCTTTGAAATCAAATGTATAGGAGACACGATTAGCAAACATTGCACGGCAGCATCCAGTCATAGCATAACCATTAATTTTCTTTGCATCATAACAAAAATACTCATCACTTTCAGATGAACAGTTTCCAATAAAAACTCCAATATTCCTCCCACGAAGTTCGTCTGGGTCATAACCTAAAATAGTGAAGAGTTATGAATTACATATACATGCATTATTTTAATTCATCCTTGTAACAGACAGAAAAAATATACAAAATATTACTAACAATAAGAAAACTAGATTTTTTTTATTTGATTGTATGGCTGTGAAAGAAACTTTATTTCCAGGTACATTAAATATTTTGTAATTTTTATCTTTATTATCTGACTGATTTCACACAAAATCATTAAAAATATACTTTTATTACTTTAAACCCTTTAAGTATTTTATAGTTCCTCATTTACATTTCTATTCAAATTTTTATCCCTTTGCAACTGTCAACAAAATGAATGTTCTGCTTCATCACAACTGAGGCAAAAACTATCCCAAACAAAATTATGACTTTACAGAGCTAGTAATTTAAAAATTCCTTTAACTGTTTTTTTTTTTTTTTTTTTTTTTTTTTTTGTCAAAATTCTGTTCATAATTCAGTAACAATAATGTATTGTACTGTGGTTATGCATAAACACTTAAATCCTTTACTGATCTTAGCAATGCATAGAAAATGCAAAGAAATCTTGGTGCTTATCTGTTATTGGAACCAGATTCAGAAAAATGTATATATTTGCATGTGCATACACACATATACATGCATATGCACATACCAACATATATGCATATATCTGTGAATTATACCTTGACAACAGAAAAGTACTGAATTTTTATATACTTGATTGTAGCAAAACCAGTTTTGATATCAGTATACAATTTATTCATAAAAATTGACTGAAAAAACTTACAATGAAACTAAAATTGAGGGAAAATAATTTAATTATTTTTATTTTTTCATATATTAGAGAAAAAACTGAAATAAAATTATTATAGAACACCTGAAAATTTTGAAAGCTATACATGTACTCAAATTTAATATAATTTACAAAGTAGCAAAAACAAATGAGAAAATAATTCCAAGTTGATGAATAATATTTTATGCATGGATGGCAGTTAATGAGTCAATACTTTCAAGGGCTCAGCATTTTAATTGCTGATCACACAAGAGTTGATAGCAATTGTTCATGAGAAATTTCATTAATTTGCTGAAATATGTCTATCTATTTTTACTTCATTTTAATCTAAATTAAAATTATTGATCCTATCACAATCTAGACCCATTCTCCCTCCCAGTTTTTTTTTTTTTTTCTGAAATGTCTCCCTCATTCTCAGTATTATTCATTTTAAATTTTTTTTTATGTAAGTTAGTACAATTGACCGTAATATTTTCATTACATTAAAGTTAATTTACTTATATATAATTTATTCTAAAATATTAAATGTCATGTTTTTTAGCTTTATAGAAAACAGAAAATTTACCTGCATCAACTATAGTTTCATAAGTCAATTCTAAAAGGATTCTAGCCTGAGGATCCAGCATATGAGCTTGTTTATGATGAACACCAAAAAATTGATTATCAAATTTGCTTATATCCTTCAACATACCCATTCTTCTTGGTAAACCATACAGACCTAGAAAGAGATTTTCAGAAGTAAGCAAACAAAAAATAGCACATGTTAAAAATAGCTCGATAGATAAGCAACTGAACTGCATTAAAAAAAAATTACATACACTTGTAGTAACTTATCAGAATTTGAACTAATTTTACACTCAGCTATCTTTCATTGATAGATTACATAGTCAATAAAAATTTTTTATTTTGCTTAGCAGCTGATTTTCCAGATAAGGCCAATTTAGATACAAAAATGCATATTTAAATGTAAAGCAATTTCAATGAATGAAAAATTTATGTTACTAGTTAAATCTCTAATTAAAAATTTTTTTAGGAAAAAGAGTTATAATTTTTTCAGGTAGCAAAACAAACTTTAGTTTTTATGAATTAAAGTTAGTTTTTTAAAGCTTGTGTGTCAAATATTTTATATGACCAATCATTATGCAGAATAATATATTAAATTTTTTCTTTTATTTTTTATAACTAATAATTTTATACAGAACTTGGATGTGAGGTTTTTTATGGTATGAGTATGTTTTTAAAACTATAAAATATATACATTTAAAAGAATAATTTTAAAGAAATTACAAAATATTAATATTAACTTTAAATATTATTAAATATTTTGTACTCCATTTTCAAAAGTAAATGTAAATCTCCACATACCTAACTTTAATTTGGAACAGCCCTTTTAAATTCATGTCCCTTTTTTGTCTTGAAAATAGCAACATGCGAATAATAAATCTTTCTTTACATCACAACAAAATTAATTCCAGTCATATGATGGTAATGATTAAAATTCATCCATGATGAGAAAGGTAATTTTTTTTCCAATTATAGTTAAACTAATTAAACTAACATTAGTAAAGTGATATGTCCCTCTACTGAGAAATCAAACTTCACAATTTTTAATCTAATAACAATACTATGATCTTTCAAAATCTCATGCTGGTATCAATACAGCTAACATCTTATGCTTTTTTTCCCAATATAAAGAAAAATACAAAACTTATAATTTGCCTTAATTCACTAAGCTAAAGTTCTGATTATTCTTAAATTACTGATGATTAAAGTTTCTTAATGCATTTAATGCAATTTGTTAAAACTAAGCACAGTTTTTAAAGAATATATGGTGATTAGTTTTCTGCACTTAATAGTTTTATATGTAGTTATAAGTTTAATCATCGACATCATTTTTTTTACCTGGTTCCCATCGTCTGTTATCTTCTGTGACTAGGTCAACTTTATTATAGAGGTTGTCGCTGAATTCTCGAACACTGTCCGATTCAGGAAATCTTCCAGAGACTCCTGTTATCACAATTTCACTTTCCATGATTATGTATATTAATGATTCAATGAATGTAGTCCTTTATGAGCAAATGAAATTTACACACGATGAAAAGATAATTTTAACTGAAAAGAAAAAGGGAATATAATTTTGTTAAATCAAAAGGCACACAATATGGTATGCAGTTATTTAAAAATATTAATGTGAAGTTTGATGAACCAAAAATAATGAGTAACAAGAGTTTTGAGATGTTAAAATTTTGTGAACAACTATATTTTTAATCGGTGCTTGTTATCTGCAGAAAACTGAATTCTGGCTATGTAATTTGTTGTAATATATGTTACATGAAATAATACTCAGTGTGTTTATCTGTTATCAGTTGATAACTTTAGATACTTATATTCTTATAATAAGATAATTTTGTTCTTATAACATGCAGTCATAAATAATGTATTTTTGTAATAAAAACAATAAAAGTTTAAATAAAAAGCCAATGATTTACTTCAGTTATGAGGAAAAATATTATAGTTATTTAAATTTTATGTATCATTATTCGAAATATACTCCACATAAAAATAATTTTCAGAATTAAAAACTGCATATAAAAATGAAAAGAAAACCACAATATTTCAAAAAATGCTTTTAATCACTATAAAATATCACTGGAAGACTTTTGGAACCAACAATAGCAACAGAAAACCATTTTGTTAAAATAATTAATGGTGAATTTAATTTTTAAAACCTGTAGATGATTACACAAGAATACCTGTTTCATATATATATATATATATGTGTGTGTGTGTGTGTGTGTCTAGATATCTTATTTCATGCCTTTGATTGGTTTGTCTAAGTATTAAAAACTATTCCCCAGTAATTTTATTATATTTGGTACATGCACACTCACATATTATATTCAAAATAAATAAAGAACAATTACATAACTTCTCAAATTTTTCAAGTGTTGAATTTTATCTTCTAATAAAAATATCTAAATCAAATTTGTTTCATATAGCTTTTTAAGGATAATATAAATTATGAAATTGAAACACAATGCTTTTAAAACAGAAATTTGCATAATATTCTCTGCATCTGCTAAATTAGAAGCAAATATAAAGCTAAAAAAGTTTTAAATTTGGTTGAATAGTTTTAGTTTTTTAAACAGGTACATTCCAAGCAAAATCATATAATATAAAATTTTAATTTGTATCCAAAAGAGGGATGCATAAATTTTATGGTTGAGAACATTTTTAATCACACTTTACTGCAAATCAGTATGGTACTCAATTTGCTTCTCTGCAAATTACCACTGTTTTCGCATTCAACACTAAAATAATTATTTAATAAACTTTAAAAAACCACAAACTATATATTAATGCCTACCACAATACATAAAAATTGTATATTTAAAAATAAAAATTAAGAAATAACACCTGGTTTTAAGCATAAGCAACAGTTACAAAATTATGCATCATTTACACTGAATGCAGTATAATAAAGTTACGATGTAATAACATGAAATAAAGTCATAATTTATTTGCTTAAAATTTAAAGCTTAAGTAAAGTATGATTTAGAAACGAAAACCCAGCACGAAATGAATGCTCATTTTCTAAAAATTTTTAAAGATCAAAATTTTTAAATTAAAATGGTAAAAAAAAAAGGGCAAAAAAAAATTAGTTTAGCTGGACCCACTGCCATGCGTAGAATTCAATGTTATGCAATACTTTTTAATTTGCATCCTCTCTCTATGCTCATGGAACACAAACTTTAAAAAAATAATAATAATACATTTATAATAGAAAATACGTTAAAAATCTTACCTAATACGGAAAATTAACTAATTCAATACAAAGAGAGATTTTATATTATAAGTTAAAGCCTAAGTTTCGCACAAAACGCTTATAATTCATCTAATGACAGCCGGCTTTACAACCGCATCTTTTCTATGCTGCTCCGGATGCAAAACTATCTATACCGCTGCAATGATCCGACATACGGCCATTCCCCTATCAGCCAATCCAATGCTTGGATTCTCATCGCCTCACATATCACGTGACTTCACGTGACCAATACCTTGGCTGCATCATTCTTCGTTCCTGTGCGGTCATTTAATGGCCACGCAATCCCTTCATGGTTACGCGGTGAAAAATTTTTCAGGAAAACAATAAGTAATCTTAGTAAAAAAAAGGACAAGACTTACGCAAAGTTCAAATGCTTGCTTATCAACAGAAGAAAGAAAGATTTTTGAGCCAGAGCTTCACAAATGGAAATATTCGATAAGTACATATGGTGATCATGAAGCTAGATTTCATTTTTAGCAATATATCATGGGGATGGCACACCTGAGCAAAGCAGTGACGCAATTGATTACTGACGGTTGCTGGGAAATCCTCATTTCCGAATTCGAAAGAAATAGGCCTAGTACAGAAGTAGAGAACCCTGTTGCTTATGCAGAGCATGCTTATATTTAATTATATTCGACTTCAACATAAGAATTTAATATTTACAAAATATACATACAACCAGTTGTACTTTTCTATTAATTTACGCATGATTTTGATTCTTAATGGCTTAGTAAAGGTGTTCTCAAATTCGCTTTTATGTACGATTAAATTTGAACATGGTTCAAATGGCACATTATTAAAAATTAAATTTCTGTTATAATTTATAAAATCTTTTTAAAAAGTCTGAAAGGTTTCAGATTTTAAATTACATCAATATCATGTTCTTCGCACTTAAACCGTAAAATTCAGTTCAAGAGCAATATCCCAAAATAATTTTAAAATAAGCATATTAAATAAATAAAGCAATCTTTAGAATTTCCGATACAACAGTCTCGCGCGCTGGAGATAAAAAGCGTTTTTTTTTTTTGTTTTTTTTTTTTTTTTTTGTTTTTTTTTTTTTTTTTTTTTTTTTTTTTTTTTTTTTTTTTTTTTTTTTTTTGTTTTTTTTTTTTTTTTTTTTTTTTTTTTTTTTTTTTTTTTTTTTTTTTTTTTTTTTTTTTTTTTTTTTTTTTTTTTTTTTTTTTTCTTTTTTTTTTTTTTTTTTTTTTTTTTTTTTTTTTTTTTTTTTTTTTTTTTTTTTTTTTTTTTTTTTTTTTTTTTTTTTTTTTTTTTTTTTTTTGTTTTTTTTTTTTTTTTTTTTTTTTTTTTTTTTTTTTTTTTTTTTTATTTTTTTTTTTTTTTTTTTTTTTCTTTTTTTTTTTTTTTTTTTCTTTTTTTTTTTTTTTTTTTTTTTTTTTTTTTTTTTTTTTTTTTTTTTTTTTTTTTTTTTTTGTTTTTTTTTTTTTTTTTTTTTTTTTTTTTTTTTTTTTTATTTTTTTTTTTTTTTTTTTTTTTTTTTTTTTTTTTTTTTTTTTTTTTTTTTTTTTTTTTTTTTTTTTTTTTTTTTGTTTTTTTTTTTTTTTTTTTGGTTGGCCATAAAATTCTGAGTTTGGTTAAAATTTACTTTATTCGGCCAAATAAAATGTTGGGCTTCCAGCTGAATACTATTTTTACTTTCTGTAGGTCCATTTTAGCGAAAACATACATTTTTGCAGATGTTTTAATAATATTTGGTGGCAACAATCAAAAGTGAAACAACGCATGAGTGAATCTATCAGCCAAAACGAAATTAATTAAAGTGTTAAATTATTAATATATGCCTGTTGCGATTCTAGATCTATAGGGTGTGTGTGTGTGTGGCTCGAACTGCTGTTCAGATAGGATTTTACATAAGATAGACTGCGCCTAATAAAATAAAAATATTTAAGTAAGACTCAAAAACAAGATTAAGATCGGGGGAGTGGCGATAATCTTGTCTGAACACTACTGTTGGAACAATTGATTGAAACATATATCGTTTTCAAACAATAAACGTCAGTACATAAAGATAGATTTACATGTCCGCAGTGAATAGTAATGGAATTTTTAATAATTGATTAAATTAAATCTAAAATATGCTTAAATAATGTGTTGGGCCCACCAGCGGCGAGCGGTAAAGTTGAACATGGTAGTTCGGTCCGAGGTAATCCCGCGAACGGCTGGTTTTCCCATGTGTTACGTGTATACGAGCCAGTTTCCCTTAGAAAAAGTCCCACGAAGGCATCTGGTAGCCACCAATAATAAATTAAATAAAAAATAATAATGTGTTGGGCGATTCTCTACCTAATTGCATCCCTGTTCCTAAATTTTGGCGGCTCCTTCTACAACAAATATATTAACTGTTTGGCGCCGCCAAATCGCCAAAACTCATAAATCTGTCAATACATAAAGTCTTTAAGAACACTCCTGATGAGAAAATAGCGTCACCTCGTGATTTTAATTAATATCGCTGATTGGATGAGCACCATGACGCACACATATCTATAAACAGGGCTTCTCCTCAAGGTAGAAGGAGGAACGCTTCTGAGATGGATCATTATATATATATATATACTGATCCGATTTTCGAGATTTTGATTTATTATATATATAAGCTACATTATGCTCTTATTATCGCATAAATTAAAAACATTTAAATACAGTAAACGTCAAAATGTTACGTTTCTGTAAATTAACTTTTGAAGCCAAGGTTCCCATTTCTTGCAGCCTTGCCTATTATTGGACTAGTGTTAGTGCTTTCTATCAAAATGCTTACAGGAATGCTAATACTTGATCGAACGCTTGATATTTTGTACAGGTTCAGAACCATTGTTTTGTAGTAGTGATATTTAATATCGTTTAGTATCGCATAGTATCTATAGCAGTGCGACATGCGACACCTTGAAAATGCGAGCGTTTTCGCGACCCCAATCAACTCTTTAATTGTGTACCATTAATTCAGATTTTTTAGGATTTTCATTCACCTTGCGACTTTACTATAAACTTTCGAGACCCAAAATGTGGCCGTTCTCCACAATATGAACACCACTGCACTAGAGCATTCGAGGTGCTGGTGTATGGAGAAATCTTAAATTCAAATCCTAACTGAAGAGGTTTTATAGTTAGATTATGCTGAATTCACTAACGATCAGTGGAGCAGTCACAGAAGGGTTAAGAAGGTACTCTGCCGCAGATAGAACGTTTCAGGGCACTTTATTTTCATGCGAACATTAATTACATGAATCGTCAGAAATGAAAGAAGGATTGCGATTTATGGATCATAGAAAAGCTCGCTACGGTTATCTGCTTAAGGGAACGGTTGCGTTCGTGAAGAACTTTAGTTCTTCACGAAAATTTAGAAGAAGGTCCAGAAGTGCTTAGAAACTGCGCATTGCCTCATATTCATATTACGAAAGGAATATTGGTTCCTCGGATCTAGAAACTAATTCAGCGCATTTAAAATTTTTCAATTCGTTAGTGATGACGACAAAAACTTCATTTACGAAAACATTTAATTAAATATACAGTGGTGGTGCCGCCCAACCGGGATAATGATTAGCGACGCAGACTGTCGTACCGAAGAGAAAGGGTTCTAATCCCGGAGAAGAATGGATGTTTGTAAATGTATAGTGTCTGCGCGGCATGGGGGCACTCTGAATATGCGGTGAGCCGAAAGTCGTCTCGACAATTTGATGGTAGGAAAGGAGGAGTGGAAGACCTTCGGACTCCTCTTCCCCGAAGTGCTATCCTTCAAAATTGCGGAGCAGAACTGAGCAAATTCGCTCTTTCATTTATATGGTGCTCAAGACTCTTGCCAACGACAGACGCAATCTTGATCCGTTGCCACGATGCATTTCGTGGGCTTGCTCTGATATCAGAGACCTGATCTGTTGTTACTGTCGATGGAGTGGGATAAACCACAAAAAAAAAAAAAAAAAAAAAAAAAAAAAACACACTGTAGTAGTGATCAATGGTTAAGCCTGCTGATCGTTTGGCTACGGTTATAAGGTATTTCTGCCGCTTTCTTAGCATGACTTCATGGTGTAATAGTTCACTCGGTGCGTATTCAAGAGTTCCGTGGTTCGAGTGCCGGCGAGGGCATTGCTTATTTTTTATGTCTCCTGTATGAAAAATAACCTAATGTCTCTATAGTGGGACCCGAACTAAAAAAACTGGTGGCTGATAATTCTCCACCACCAAACTGAGGCATTTGATCCTAAATGCAAACCTAATGAAATAAATATTTTATGTCCTTTCCTCTAGCTAAGCATCTCGATTAGATACTAGAAAGTTAGAAGCATACTGGAATCAGTATTTGGGGGGGGATAGAGAAATGTTTTTCGTAACAATGGAGATACAAAATCGCACTTGCTTCATTTTGAGATAATAATATTTTCGTATGAAACTTACAATAAATAATAAATAAATGAAAATAATTTTTCAGGGAAGACTGCAAGAAAATTACATATACTTTAAGTGTGAACTTAGAGTTCTCTTACCATAATGTATGCAGTGGTATAACAATTAAACTTCAAGTTTTAAGGCGATCCAGTCTTAATGAACCTAAAACACTTCTCAGTGACAAACAGAAAAGCAAAACAGAAAATTTACATACAATGAACAAATTACATGCTCATGTATTTGCCATCAATTTTCGCAAGCCGTTCATATACGTTTCCACAAATAGCCGAGTGAATAATACCACAGAACACTGGCAGTTCGATTCATTTTCCCTTGAATGATCGGCTGCTCACTATTTTTCTTTCTAAATGTGTAATAAATACTAATTTCCGTTACAATTAGAAAGCTCATAGTTTCCCAATACCATTAAAAGGCTTTCATTAAAATCTCTTCCAACAATATATTCTGCTTAGAAAAATTGGTCTTATGTGTTTTGTCTTAATCAATAAGTCAAACAATGAATCATTCTTATGCATTAACAAATTGCATAAGAAGATGCAACAAACAAAATAGTCGAGCTCGAAGTCTGATAAATAGCAGAAGAAAAGTGAACATGTATGACCACATTTAAAAAAATTTTTATGCATATCTTTATAAAATCATACACAAAATTTCCGAATATTTATATTTTTTTCATAAGATTTAATGTTTCGTAATTTCATGATTT